TAATTTCACAGTGAAGATATATTCAAGGCAGGGCAAATATGAACTGCGTCACAGAGAACCTGAAGCCACGACCTCTCTGCTCTTTACAGCTTTACTTCCTGAATGTTCTCCCTATGGTGGGTCCAGGCCCACTTTTGCAACACTTTGCAACAAAGTTCCTGCTCTAAAATGTTACTGGTAATTCACAAAAGGGGAAAACAAAGTAATTCAAGAAAGGATTTGAGCTTTAAAAAGCACATGGATCCAAGTTATAAAAGACATGCATCAAAGCACTGAGCGTCATTGACAACTCGAGATAGGATCGCTTTAAACTCACAAAAACTCCTCGCTGTTGCCAAAGCGAGTTTTGCATGGAATTGAAATAGTAAGAGAAATTTTCTTTACCTTGGGAAGTTTGGAAAGACTTCCTTCTCGTCTGATGCTCTGAACTTTGCAGCCCGAAATAACTCAGTTTTCTCGGCTTCCAGGCTTTTCTAGCTCCGCCCCGCTATTGAATCCTGGGAGTTGTAGTTTGGACTTCTCTGTACTGCTACATCTGGAGTCACAGGGAGAAATGAGCCCATTATAGTCCTGAAGAAAGTTACCATATATTCCGGGGTACTAGACGACTTTTTAGGCATGTAAAATCTTATAAAATTTTGGGGGTTGTCTAGTATGCCGGGTATAAAATTAAAATGATAATAAAATTACTTAATATGGGTGGGAATGCCCCCAAGTGAAGAGTTTTTGGAAGGATATATTTATTGAAATAAACAACATTATAGGATCAAATATTACTCTGGATGCTAGGTTAGCATTATTAATGGACACCACGATGTTGAATCTAGAAACAATAAGAAAGAATTGGTGATTATTTTGCTCACAGTGGGAAGAATCATAATAGCAAGGAACTGGAAAATAATAACTAATCTAACACCGGAAGCATGGTATAGGGAGGTATGGGAGCCTTAAATGATAAACTAACAATGGAAATGAGGGTATTCAGGGGGGAAATTAACAGATCGGATTTTGAGGCATACTGGTCGGTCTTTATTAAATATGCTTTAGAGAGCAAAAAGGGAAAACAATATAACCCTGTTGATCTGGAATTTTGGATATGACATTTGATTAATGGTTGATTTACAAATATATGGTGAAGGAAAGGATACTTGTTCAGGCCTTGATGGTAGGGTTATGTGTTTGTAAAATGTTCACTGTTTTGTGTTTTGTGTACACTGTAAGTTGTTATTGTATGTAAATAAAATCTTAATTTTTTAAAAAAAAATAAAAATTTTTTTTAATATGGCTGCCATGGCCTTGGGCTCTCCTCCTCCTCCTCTGCCTTGGCTCATGGCGGCCTCCCGGGCAGGCTCCCCATCTTCCTCCCTTCCAGGCTGCCTTCCTTGCACAGGCCCAGGCCTCTCCTTTGTTGGTGGCCGGGCCCCTGGGCTGTTCAGGCCGCACTCCTTCTTCCTGTCCATGCCTCGCGAGAAGTGCCACTTCTCCTGCAAGACAACATTGTTCCATCTGAACATGAGGAAGAACTTCCTGACTGTGAGAGCTGTTCAACCATGGAACTCTCTGCCCCGGAGTGTGGTGGAGGCTCCTTCTTTGGAAGCTTTTAAACAGAGGCTGGATGGCCATCTGTCAGGGGTGATTTGAATGCAATATTCCTGCTTTTGGCAGGGGGTTGGACTGGATGGCCCATGAGGTCTCTTCCAACTTTTTTATTCTATGATTCTATGAGCGCCAGAGGTCCTTCTGATCAGGCCGCTTTCCTCCTTCCTGTCCAGGCCTCGCGAGAAGTGCCTCTTCTCCTGTGAGACAACATTGTCTCGCGGGAGAAGAGGCACTTCGCATGAGGCCTGGACAGGAAGAAGGAGAGCGGCCTGAGAAGCGCCTGGTTTGGGGAGTCGTCTTAAATGGCGAGTATATCCCCAACTCTTGTTTTGTTTGCTAAAATTGGGGGGTCGTCTTATAGCCCCAGTTGTTTTGCACCCCGGAATATACGGTATACTTTTGTTGGAGGTAAAAAAGGGAAGCCTTGGTCCTCATTTCTCTATTGTTTGGGAGGCTCTCTGGCATCCTTCACATCCAAAAAGAAATATACAGGAGGGTCTCAGTTAACCAGAACTCTCAAGCAACAGGCAAAAAAATTCAAAGAAATACTTATTTTAAAAAGTTTTCATGATACAGCAAAACAGTAAACATGTGTTACATTTAAGTATGTCTTTGTCTTAATTCTAAGTACTATAGAATTATAGAGTTGGAAGAGACCTGGTGGGTCAAGAAGCAGGAAAATCACATTCAAAGCACCCCCGACAGATGGCCATCCAGCCTCTGTTTAAACAGCCTCTGTTTAAAAGCCTCCATAGAAGGAGCCTCCACCACACTCCAGGGCAGGGAGTTCCACCGCTGAACAGCTGTCACAGTCAGGAAATTATTCCTAATGTTCAGGTGGAATCTCCTTTCTTGTACTTTGAAGCCATTGTTCCACGTCCTAGTCTCCAGGGCAGCAGAAAACAAGCTTGCTCCCTCCTCCCTATGACTTCCCCTCACATATTTATACATGGCCATCATGTCTCTCTCAGCCTTCTCTTCCAGGCTAAACATGCCCAGCTCTTTAAGCCGCTCCTCATAGGGCTTGTTCTTCAGACCCCTGATCATTTTAGACGCCCTCCTCTGGACACATTCTAGCTTGTCAATATCTCTCTTCAATTGTGATGCCCAAAATTCGACACAATATTCCAGGTGTGGTCTAACCAAGGCAGAATAAAGGGGTGGGATGACTTCCCTGGATCTAGACATTATACTCCTACTGATGCAGGCCAAAATCCCATTGGCTTTTTTTGCCGCCGCATCACATTGTTGGCTCATGTTTAAATTGTTGTCCACTATATTTCAATATCCGTTTCATGGTATGGTATAGTATGGGTTGTAACAGGCATGAGCAAACTTTGGCCTTCCAGGTGTTTTGGACTTCAATTCCTAACAGCCTCAGGCCCCTTAAGAAGCTGAGGGGGAAAAGGAAAGGGCCTGAGGCTGTTAGGAATTGTGGGAGTTGAAGTTCAAAACAACCTGGAGGGCCTAAGTTGGCCCATGCATAGTATTGGTTAGGCTTATTTTTTAATAGTAACAGTCAAGCAACCACAAACCTCCTCCAGTCTCAATGGGTGCTAGTTAACTGAAGCCTACTATATTGGAGCTTAAAGCTAACTTCAAAAAATGTGGCAAAGACACCAAGAACAGAGGGTGGATGGCCATCTGTCGGGAGTGCTTTGATTATGCTTTTTCTGCATGACAGGTGGTTGGACTAGATGGCCCATGTGGTCTCTTCTAACTCTGTGATTCTATGATTCTAGGAAGCCTGGCCCTTGAGTCCTTTAACTTGACTCAAGCTGTTTAACTAAGCTGTTACCAATAGTGCTATGGATTTTGAAGAGGCAGGAAGAAATATGCTAAGAAGAAGGTGTGTGGTGTGTCAAGCAAACCCGTCACGTACGCTTTCCATCTGGAAACCTATGTCCTCAGGAGCTCCCGGTGGCGCAGTGGGTTAAACCCTTGTGCTGGCAGGACTGAAAGCCGACAGGTCACAGTTTCAAATCCAGGGAGAGCATGGATGAGCTCCCTCTGCCAGCTCCAGCTCCCCATGCGGGGGCATGAGAGAAGCCTCCCACAAGAATGGTAAAACATCAAAACATCCGGGCATCCCCTGGGCAACGTCCTTGCAGACAGCCAATTCTCTCACACCTGAAGTGACTTGCAGTTTCTCAAGTGGCTCCTGGCACCAAAAACAAAACAAAACAAAACAAAAACATCTATGTCCTCGCTGTGAAATAACATGTGGAGCCAGAGTAGGTCTTCACGGCCATTTACAAATCCCTTGACAAAACAAGCATATGCAGTCACAAGCGATCGTTCCTGAACGAATTTGCCACAAACCAAAATCCGCAATCCACATGACATTGTATATTCTGGTTGCTTGAGAGTTACTATTACATATAGGCCATACAAACATATGCAGACATACACAGAGTCTATTTAACTTTTTCTGGCCGCCAGGGGAGCTGTCGCTTTCATCGTCCATCTGCGACGCTGATGAAGCATTTCCGCATTCCCCGCATGCTTCCCCGCTGGAATGCTTTGCTGGAGTCTTCTTTATGGCCTCATAAATCAGTTAATTTAGCCTCCCCACACTTTAAGGTGGTACCTTATTTTCCTACTTGACAGATGCAACTGTCTTTCGGGTTGCAAAGGTCGACAACAGGCTACACACAATTGGTTGGAAACCCACTCCAACCCGGGCTGGCTTCGAACTCATGACCTTTTGGTCAGAGTGATCTTAATGCAGCTGACACTCAGCCAGCTGCGCCACAATCCCGGTGCAATGGAGATGGATAGTGAAAGATGTTTTTGAAGAATATCTTACAAACCACATGTTCCCTGCTCTGGATTTAGAAACCAAACTGTTCAACTACATAAACAAGGTTTATAATAATCCCTAACCGCCCAACACTTTATTATTATGAGTTGGTATTTAATATTTCCCAACCAGCAATTGTTGTTTTGAGGCATTTAACCATAACAGCAGGTGGAAATGTGAAGACTGTCGCCATTACATTAGAACTGCTCATTGTAGGATTGGTTTGTGCTAGTTTCAATGTACATACTTAGTATTCTTTTTGGAACGTCTTGACTCTTAACAACCACAGACACATAAGAGTTGACAACTCTTATGAAACAGTCATATAGATATGGTGATCTGAATGAAAAGGACCACAGAAATTCCATATATGACTCAGACACAACCACATTAAACAAATCAAAAGTTGATCAACCACAAATTTAGAATCGGAAATCATTAGTTTTTCATTTTCTGGTATGTAAAGAGAATGTTGGGTGAGTATGCTTGGTGAAAGTAGTTAGTTGTCTAGTCTCAGTTTAGTCCTTTGGGCTTCTAGGGAAGAGTTCAGGCTTGATTTGTTCTCGGAGCCACTGATTTGTCTGTTTAATAGTCCATACTATCCGTATAACTATCTTCCAACTTTCTTCACTGACCAACTTTTTAAACCATGCTTGGAAACTGGAACATGAATATGAAGTGGCAACTTGTTTAAAATATTTAACTGAATGAATGTAGATCAACCCTCGAAATGCTCTCAGACTTGGAGGTGGGGATAAGCCATCAAGTGGTATTGCTTATGGATTGTCAAGCTATCAATGCCCACTTCAAAACCAAGTATTGTCTGAAAAGCTGTGCTCTATATAAACAGCTTCCTGGCTCTTTTAAAAATTATGTTAAGCATTCTGCTTATGCAACATTTTCTTTGTAGCTTATAAGAAACTTCAGTCCGAGGGGACTAAAAATGTAAACCAGGAACGACAATACTGAAACTGATTGAAAATAAATGCTTATCTCCATATTGATAGACTGGTTAGTAAATAAAAGTAAAGGTTTCCCCTTGACATTCAGTTTAGTTGTGTCCAACTCTGGGGGGTGGTGCTCATTTCCATTTCTAAGCTGAAAGGGCAGGAGTAGTATACAGACGCCTCCTAGGTCATGTGGCTGGCATGACTGCATGGAATGCCATTACCTTCCCACTGAAGCAGTACCTATTGATCTACTCACATTTGCATGTTTTCAAACTGCTAGGTTGGCAGAAGCTGGGCCTAACAGTAGGAGCTCACCCTGCTCCCCAGATTCGAACTGCCAACCTTTCAATTAGCAAGTTCAGCAGCTCAGCGGTTTAACCTGCTGTGCCACTGTGGGCACCTGGTTTGTACTTGATGTAAAAATACTGCAGGTGAGCTAGAACAGATTTAATATGCAACACATTGCTTCATTAAGTGGACTTAATTTCCATTCATATTTGGAATAGGAAAAGGAAGTAAATAAGAGGTGATTTGGGTCCATATTTGCAAACACTTTCTTTTTAACTAGTCTTGTGGAGAAAGTGGAACTATTTGTTTTTGTACCTGAGTGGCCACTTACTCGCTACCCCAAATCCCTTTTGATCCCACTGAAATTGGTCTCAATCATTCCCAAAGCTTCATTTGTACTCACAAGTGAAATGACAGACATACAGTGTTCTGAAAATTCTGCTTTATTTCTCTTGTGCTCCCCCAATCACGATGAAAAGGAGAAAGCATGTGTATGTGACTACATACACATACCTAGTTTGTGGAAAAGTTATCTTTTTGGACTACAACTCCCAAAATCTCAGTATCCATAAGTGACTGGTAGTTTCTCAAGTCGCTCCTGACACACAAAAAAGTATCGATTTGGCTGTGCTAACTGATGACTTGTGGAAATGATTGTCCAAAAAATAATGGTCTAAACAACTCTTTCCCAACACAGTTCCCCTCCCCTTTACTATGAATATTTGGAGGAGAAAAGTCCAGAGTATCAAAGTCTCTGTTTTAAACGGTATTATTCTTGCATGACTCTCCTACACAAAAGAGCCAACAGACTCCTATCCACACAAGTGGAAGAGCTTTTGTAATAATCTCAGCATCATTTCTTTTCAAGCCATTCACTGGTCCCAAGTAAGTACATCTTGAGAAGGAATCAATTTGGGCCATTTACTCATTTCAAGTTTCCTGAAACGGTTTGAGCACATAAGCTCTCACTTGTTTTGTAGTTCCTTTCAGAGAAAATTCCTGGAAGATGAAACAGAATTGAACTACGCTCTTGCTTGGCGCTGTAAACTACCAATGGGTTTTCACTTGATTCTTAACTCCTTTTTTGCTGGATAAGAGTCATCCGGCAACTCCCTTTAAGGCATCTCCTTTCTCTCCTTGTTCTTGGGACCCATCTAGTGCCACCTTCATTGCTTCAAGCTTCCAGCATCAAGCATAAGGTCTTGGAGGTAGCCACTGCCCTCAGGAACTGTGTTTCTGTCGCTTCCAGAAGCGTTTGACATCTGAATGTCCGGCAGGAGTCACCACCATCAGACGCTTGGAAGGGTTCTCAAAAATGAGCACCCCAAGTTCCCTGGCATGGTCCCTCAGCAGCTCAAAGTCCACCTGGGAGAGGAACTGGTTGTACAGAACACCTGAGGAAAGGAAAGCAAATATACAGTTGAGAAGATGGTCAAATGGGAGAAGCTCAAGAGGACAGGAAGTAGGAAGAAGAAGCAGATGCAAACAGAGATGGGCATGAGGAAGGGAAAGGTAAGGCTCAAGACAACATGGAGAGGACTGAGAATGGAGGGGAACATAAAGCAAAGAACATAAATACAGTAAGAGAAAAAAGAAAAAAGCAAGGATGTCCAGGAAAATTAAGTAAAGGATACACACATATACATACATGAACCGGGAAAAGGAAAGCAATATTTTTTAAAATATAGGACAAGATCAGAGAAATTAAAGAAAAAAACTAATGGAAAGTAGCAAATAGAAGAGGCAAACAAAACAAAAGTCCAGAATTTAAAAAACCATCTATAGACCTAACTCTTTTTGCAGGTATGCTCAGCCTGTTTTAAGCATGAATTTGAAACTAGTGTTGTATTTAATCTCTGTGCTGTCTACTTTAATATATATCATACAGAAATATGTTTTAATATGGATTTTTATAGAAACTGTATATTCACAGAATTTTTACAATGTTTTTTTTATTTTTTTGATATTTTTAATTATTTTATCATGATTCAATACATTTGTTATACATTGTTTTTACAATGTTTATGTGTTTTAGTTATGCTGTAACTTGCCTCGAGGAGAGGCAGGTAAGAAATAAAATTATTATTGTTATTGTTGCTTTTGTTGTTACATAGGACAAGAAGAAAGGACGAATGTCCATTCAAGCATTAAGAAAAAAAGGATCTATCATAACACTACTTAGTTGAAAAACAATAGTATGTTTCTCATATGTAAGAACAAAGAAATGCAATAGTTTTCTTCCTTCTGCAGAAAAAAACAAATATTTTGGTGCAGTTTGGGCCTGCTATTTGCCGACTCAGGGCGGCCTCATAGCTGGGAATCATTAGATGCCCAAACAAAGACAGTTTAGAATTTAAACAAACAGTTACAATATCAAATATAAAACATCCAATTAAAATTACACAAGTTCAAGTCATAATCCAGGTCTGTCCATTGTCAGTCAAGGAAATTATAGAGCGCCATTACCTTCCCGTCGAAGTGGTACCTATTGATCTCACATTTAAATGTTTTCGAACTGCTAGGTTGACAGAAGCTGGGGTTAAGAGCGGGAGCTCACCCTACTCCCCGGATTTGAACCACTGACTTTCAGTCAGCAAGTTCAGCAGTTTAACCCACTCCACCACCAGGAGCTCCTATCTGCACTGAATAGTTTCCCCAAATGTTCTGGAATATTCAAATACCAGGAAAAAACTAAAAAATTCTCACCACTATATTATGCTTCTTGAGTGGAAAACAATTTTCACTCAGGAAACAAATAACAGCAAATATTATTTCCATCCCTGCATCCTCACCTGGTATTGATATATCCATACCAAAAGTGCTATGAACCTATGGTAAGAAACCATCCCATAATACAAGTATGGCTCTACCCTTTCTTCTCCAAACACTCACCCTCAGAGAAGCGCAATCTGTCCCGTTCCAGCTCCCATAGCCGGATTTGGTCTGTGATTGTGGGGGGCAGCACAGGGGTCTGTTGGGAGAAGTAAAACAACATAACTATAGTCACATGGCAAAATGCTTAAGAAAGAATGTACTTGTTAGCTTTAAGCACCTCATAACATTTTTCACTTTTTCTTGTTGTGTCCCTTCAAGTTGTTTCTGACATATGGCGAACTGTTAGGGGTTTTTCTTGGCAAAATTTGTCCAGAGGAGTCTTGCCTGTTGCTTTCCTCTATAGCTGTGAGAGTGTGACTTGCCCGAGAGACTGTTCCCTTGGAACTAATAAATCTTCTTTCCTTTGCTCATAGTAATAGTAGTATTTATTACAATGTACACCGATTCTGCTGATAGTTTATTATTTTCCCTTAAGGAATCTGTTTTAAATAGTTGTAATTCTAGGTATTTTTTACTTTTATTTTAATAATAACTTTTAATATGTTTTTACTTATCTCTTTATAGTTGTTTCTTTAATTTCTGTATACATTTTAAGTTTTTATATGTTGGGATTCTAATAGATAAAAATTGGGATTCAGATGTTTAAGTAACAGCAACATTTAAGCATCCATCCTAAATCCCTCCCAATATCCCTGTGACTTGCTGAGAGGTCTTCAAAAAGCCATTTGCAATGTTCAACAGGGGAGCATCCTTTTTATATCCCATGAACCTCAAGACTTGACCACGGCAATCATTTTCTTACCTGTTTCAGCATCACAGGGTGAGCTCTAGTACGCAGGAAGTGAATGATCTACAAGAAAGAGAGAAACCAACAAGAATTTCTCCAAACATGTTTCAAATTGGACCCTACAAGTAGCTCATTTTGCCTAGGAAATGCCTGGAAGCTCAGAAGCAGAACATTAGGACTTCAACAGACAGAACCAGACTATACTTCTTTCAAAATGGTTCACTCAACTGCATCAACCAGTTTTAAGTGTCTCCTTCTGGTTTATTTATTTACTATATTTATCTACTGCCATTCTCACCCCGGGGGAGGCTCAAGGCAATTTACAACATACTAATGGCAAAAATGCAATGCCATATGCATATAGAAAGAAAGAAATCCATAATAACTAAACACTAACACAGCGTTTCTCAACCTGGGGGTCGGGACCCCTGGGCGGGGTGGTCATGAGGAGAGTGTCAGAGGGGATCGCCAAAGACCATCAGAATGCACAGTATTGTCAGTTCGTCATGGGGATTCTGTGTGGGAAGTTTGGCCCAATTCTATCGCTGGTGGGGTTCAGAATGCTCTTTGATTGTAGGTGAACTATACATCCCAGCAACTACAACTCCCAAATGACAAAATCATCCCCCCACAACCCCAACAATATTCAAATTTGGGTGTATTGGGTATTTGTGCTAAATTTGGTCCAGTGAATGAAAATACATCCTGTATATCTGATATTTACATTACAATTTCCAACAGTAGCAAAATTACAGTTATGTAGTAGCAACAAAAATAATTTTATGGTTGGGGGTCACCACAACATGAGAAACTGTATTCAGGGGTCGCGGCATTAGGAAGGTTGAGAAACACTGCACTAATATATAACTATAAATTAAAATAATTAAAACAATTAAACATAAGACATAAACAACATTATACATTAAAATCACATTATGATCAGGTTAAAATATTAAATATTAAAATCACATTAAGTTCAGGTTCCTACCTGATCTGCTGTAATGCCATTGGCAATGGCCTGTTGCACACTCTCCCGGGTGACTTGAGCCACCACTAAATTTGGAAAGCGATACAGCATCTCAGAGAAGAGGGCAATGAGTGCAATCTGCAGCTCAGAATCTGGGGATGAGAACAGAGAGGAAAATAAAGATCAGAGCTTAATTTCCCAAACAGGAAGGCAAGGAGGTTGAAGATGTCTTGAAAACTACAGCCTCTGCTCTGGAAGAAATTCCTCTAATCTCAGGTTTGGAGAATGTGAGACAGAAATATACACTGCACATAATTAAGTACACTGCCCTTTGTTATCATTTCAGATTTTTTTTGCCAAATTCTAGAAGGGAACTTTGTGAAAACAACTGGGAGGAACATAACGCAACCTTAGAGCATAGTCTTTATAACTTCCCCTTCGTTTTTTAAAATGAGTAAATCCTAAATATTCTTTCACCAGCACTCCTATCCCCTTGATTTTCCTCCTCCGTCAGGTAGTGAGCATTCTTTTGCACTTCCCTCTCATAACTTTGCTCTAGGGAAGCAGAATGAATGGCTAACTCCCCCCTCTTATTGTTATATTTGCCACCATTTCTACAGTCAAAGAAAGAAACACCACTGTGACTGGCAGTCAGCTTTTCTATATGGGGCTGGTAGCTTCGCAAATGAATCCTTATAGTTGGGGAAATGGAGAACTACAGAAATGGTTTGTGTTGTAACATTACCCAACAGCCTGGTGCTGAAGACTCAAGGCCTTTCCACACAGCCAAATAACCCAGAATATCAAGGCAGAAAATTCCACAATATCTGCTTTGAATTGGGTTATCTGAGTCCACACTACCATATATTCCAGTTCAAAGCAGATAATGTGGGATTTTATTCAGCTGTGTGGAAGGGGCCTTAGGCATTCAAGAAGAAGACAGCAGTAACAGCAATCTACTTTCTTCTTCCTTTTTTTTGGACGCAAAAAGGAAGGAGTAAAAAGCCATAAGAAAGTAATTGCTTGTTCTGCTACATCATAAGCTCTGTGTTTGCTTGCACGCTCAACACCACTACGGCTGCTGTTTTGCTGGCCAGGCCAAAAGGTCTTTCTGAACATCACCCAGTTCTAGACATTTACATGAATCTGTTGTGCAGTGTTTAGAGCAGATTCTGCAGAAGATGCTTCAGCTGTACTTCATAAAAAAGAAAACCAGCCTGTTTAGTAAGCCTTGCAAATGCTGGTTTGTTATCAGCAAATGATTGATTTTATACCTATTTTATTTTATATACCTATACACATAAAAATAGTGGAAATGTTTAAGAATTCCTAGCCTATTATGACTAGCAATCTCAGCTTCCTACAGAACTTGGTTTTCAGCTGTGCCTTAGTGAAGTGCAGCAAAGGGTTAAACCCTTGTGCTGCTGAACTGCTGACCTGAAGGTTGGCAGTTCGAATCTGCGGGATGGGGTGAGCTCCTGCTGTTAGCCCTAGCTCCTGCCAACCTAGCAGCTCAAAAATATGCAAATGTGAGTAGATCAATAGGTACTGCCTCAGTGGGAAAACGCAAAAAGACGCTTCATGTAGTCATGCCAGCCACATGATGAGGAGGTGTCAACGGACAACACAGGCTCCTTGGCTTGGAAATGGAGATGAGCACCTCTCCCAGAACTGGAGATCAGCACCGCTTCCAGAGCCGGAAATGAAAGGAGAAGCCTTTGCCTTTGTTATTTGTGTCTCATTGTATTTCATCGTAACAAGGCATTGACTGTTTGCGTGTGTCTGTTTATATACTGTAATACACTCTGAGTGCCCTCAGAGAGAAGGGTGCAATATAAATAAAGTATTATTATTATTATTATTAAACTTCTCAAAAGGTTGGTGGAGGAAGAGACCTTGAAAAACGTGGAGCTCTCTCAAAACCACCCCAGTTTAAATGACTTCAGATTACAACGCTGCAGTTATCATTTTAAGATCTGCAAATCTTAGCCAAGTGGGAGAAATATTCCAGGAAAGAATAACTCAAAATCATAAAACAAGAGGAAGACAGTGAGGAAGAGCCCTTTGAATGAAGCAAAACATGGCATCATTACACTTTTGACCTCTGACCTGTATATGCATAGATCCTGTAGTTTGTCTCCACAACGATAAAGCCCTGGTTACGAGTATTTGTGGTAGTGCCCGAAATGCCAGAGGAAAGGTTGATTGCTAGGCGAGTTGGGTAGTAACGTCTGGATTTCCTCTGAAAGGAAAGAAGGATGGGCAATGGGAGAAAGATCCCTCAAAGTTCTGCAATTGTCTACAGTCCAAAAACTATAGCTTTAGCTGGGTTACTGTGAGTTTCCTGGGCTGTATGACCATGTTCCAGAAGCATTCTCTCCTGACATTTTGTCCACATCTATGGCAGGCATCCTCAGAGGTTGTGAGGTTTGTTGAAAACTAGACAAATGGGTTTATATATCTGTTGAATGTCCAGGGTGGGAGAAAGAACTCTTGTCTACTTGAGGTTAGTGTGAATGTTGCAATTGGCCAGCTTGATTATCATTGAATGACCTTGCAGCTTTAAAGCCGGGCTGCTTCCTTCTATAGGGACCACCAAATGCAGCATTGCCCAAACACTAATCAAGGAACATGAAATGCACTGAAGACTAATTCAACCAGAAAAGTCAGCCATAGCAGAGCACCTGATGAACCAACCTGGATACAGCACATTATTTACAGAAATTCAGGACCATTGTAGCAACCACCAGGCTACACAGAGAAGCCATTGAAATCTACAAGCATGTGGACAATTTCAACAAAAAGGAGGAAACCATGAAAATGAACAAATTTTGGCTAGCAGTATTAAAAATCCAAAAATCAGAACAGTAAAGAAACAAAAACTTAAAAAAAAACCCAAAACAAGGGAATTCCAGACAGGGACAGCTAAAACCTTTCAACAAAGGATCCTCCCAGGCAGCAACCAGCCAGGCTTTGAAGCTGCAAGGCTATAAATGCTAATCAAGGTGACCAATTGCAACATTCGGACTTGCCTCCAGCAGACAAGAATTCTTTCTCCCACCCTGGACATAAACCACACTTGCTTAGTTTCAGCAGACCTCACAACCTCTGAGGATGCCTACCATAGATGTGGGCGAAACATCTGGAGAAAATGCTTCTGGAACATGGCCATACAGCCCAGAAAACTCACAGTAACCCAATGATTCTGGCCATGAAAGCCTTTGACAACACATATTACTTTAGTTCATTGCCTTCTCTCCCATGATCACTGCCACTAACAATTCCCCAATTGGCAGCTGTCAGTTTTTTGTAACCCCACGCTTTCCCCAATCTCTGATACAGATAGATATCTATCTATAGATAGATATCTATCTATATAATAAAAGTTAGTATATGCATGTATGTGGGTGATGATTAATGTTTCCTATTGGTTCCCACTTCCAGAGACCACTGTGACCCCCACTGATGACAGATCAGGACCAAACTTGGCACACAGAATCCTCCTGACCAAGTTGCAGTTCACTCTGCATCAAGAGAGAAGCCTGAACCCCACCAATGATGGATCTGGACAAAACATGGCACACATACCCAACATGGCCAACTTTAAGGACTGGTGGAGTCTGAGGGGATTAAACTAGCATGATTTGAGTTGTAGTCCACCCACATCATTATGCATTTTCTTAATGGGACAATTTATAAAATCTAAAGACATTGACTTTGTCAAATAAGTAGTGTTAAAATTACCAAATATGCTATATGGCCATGTTCTAGAGGCATTCTCTCCTGACTTTTCGCCTGCATCTATGGCAAGCATCTATGGATGCTTGCCATAGATGCAGGCGAAACATCAGGAGAGAATGCCTCTAGAACATGGCCATATAGCCCGAAAAAACCTACAACAACCCAGTGATTCCGGCCATGAAAGCCTTCAACAACAATAATAATAATCTTTTATTTATACTCCGCCACCATCTTTCATAAGGACTTGGGAAGGCTTAGAGAGCACACAATGGTTCCATACAACATATAAAATACAATATATCAATATAAAAACCAATAACACATTTAAAAGCAGACATAAATTTAACAAAAACAATAGAATCAATAAAATATGGCAATAGCTGTTAATTAAAATATGAATACAATCAATTTAGCCTTCCCTGGATAAGATAGTAATCTAGCTGCTATCTTGAACATTATCAAAGGCCTGAAGAGAGAAGCAAGTTTTTAGCTCTTTCTACTCTCTTTCTGAGGGAGCCCCTGGTGGCACAGTGGGTTAAAGCGCTGAGCTGCTGAGCTTGTTGACCAAAAGGTCACAGGTTCGATTCTGGCAGTGGTGTGAGCATCTGCTGTCAGCCCCAGCTTCTGTCAACCTAGCAGTTCGAAAGCATGCAAATGTGAATAGATCAATAGGTATCTCCAGCGGGAAGGTAACGGTGCTCCATGCAGTCATGCCGGCCACATGACCTTGGAGGTGTCTATTAACAATGCCGGCTCTTCAGCTTAGAAATGGAGATGAACACCACATCCCAGAGTTGGCCACGACTGGACTTAATGTCGGGGGAAAAACTCTCTTTCTGTGTCTTACCTTTCTTTGAAAGACAAGACCAAACTCCCGGAGGTGTTGGAGAAAGTTTAGCAAAGATTCACTCATTCCTTCCACAGAATAATCCTAGGTGAAAATGGACAATATTACTTTGATTGTTTCATACTTGGTGACTGACAGCTAAATCCAGCATAGCTTGACTTAATTGCAGTCTATTTCAAATTAGTTTTCAGACTTCTAGCTTCCATTAACCCAAGCCAAGGATGACCCATGACGAGAATCCTTGGAGTTTAGTCCAAAAACACCTGGAAACATCAAGCTGGGGAATGACTGTAATACTGAAAGCTGCTGCATTGGATCTCATTCAAGAAGAAAGAGTATAAAATCTATCGAAAATAATAAATATTGAAAAGCAGTGGAGCACAATATAAAAATCCAACCCACCACTGTTTATCTGTGATAGCAGCATAATTGATGATGTAGTTAGTTACTAACTGAAGAATGGTGAAGTGTACAGTCATAATAATTTCTGAATCATAGAGTTGGAAGAGACCTCAGGGGTCATCCAGTCCAACCCCCTGCCAAAAAGCAGGAATATTGCATTCAAAGCACCTCTGACAGATGGCCATCCAGCCATCATTTCACACATATAGTACTCTCCTTCCCAGTTTATCCTTAAATAAGCCTTATGAAGTAAGCCAAACAAAGAGTGAGTGTCTGGGCTAAGGGCAGTCAGGGAGTTTCATGGCTCAGTGGGGGTGGATTTCCCAGATCCCAGTCCAACACTTTAACCATTACATCACACTTGAGCTTATATTTTCCCCTGATCTATAGGCCCTATTTAATATACTGGCACTCAATAGGGATATTTTTCTTTCTTTCTTACCTTGCCAAGACTGGAGAAGCTGAGCTGGAAGAGGAAAGAAAGAATCTCCACCAGGTCCATGCCCCGGGTCTATGGGGAGCGATGCAAAGAAGGAAAGCTAGTTCAGAATAAATGGGAACTGACCAAACAAATGAAGTAAAATGGATAGTAGTTCCTACATCTCCTTACCTCAGCTGACTGGAGGTACTGCAGCATGAAGTACCAGAGTTGTGATGAGGTATCCAGCAAGAGGAACTGGAAACCAGAAGAGGTAATGCAAGGTGGCTCGCCAGGCTCACTACTGTAAAGGAAAGCACTCAAAGTTAACGCAGAGAGCTGGTTGTTAATTCAGGATATCTTTTTGTGGTTTGTTGTATTTCTTCAAGTAATTTATGACTTATGGCGACCCTATAATGGGGTTTTCTACTTTTGCGTTATTCACACTCTTGTTCTGTACTTGCACATATGGAAGCATAAGTGAACTTATTGAACAGAGGTGGAGACTAAGAGGCTGCATTAACCCTCCAAGAGGACTTGGGAGGGCGATGCCTTACGTTGTACCTTCCAGAAAAGACTACATCTAAATGCATTTTGGGTGCCTTCCTAAACCTCCAAGAGCATTTTGATGCAATTTATGTTGGAAAAAAATATTAATTTTTGTGTTGTCAAAGGCTTTCATGGCTGGAATCACTGGGTTGTTGTGAGTTTTCTGAATTGTATGGCCACGTTCCAGAAGCATTCCCTCCTGACATTTTGCCCACATCTATGGCAAGTATCCTCAGGGGTTGTGAGGTATATTGTTGGATTGGTGCTTATAGGTTTCAGTGGCTTCTCTGTGTTGTCTGAAATCCACAAGCTTGTGGACAATTTCAACAGAAAGGAGGAAACCATGAAAATGAACACAATCTGGCTACCAGTATTAAAAAACTCTAAAATCAGGACAGTAAATAAAGAACAACACTCAGAAAACAGGGGAATTCCAGACAGGAACAATCAGGGCCAGCTAACACCTCCCAACAAAGGATTCCCCCAGGCAAGAACCAGCCAGGCCTTGAAGCTGCAAGGCTTTGCAATGCTAAATAGGAAAGATTACCATGCCAAAATATTAGATTTGATGTGAATGACTAGGATGGTTTTAAATGGTGTGTTTTAATATTTTGATAAATGTTTCTTAATGTTTATGTATTATATGAATGTTTGCCATGTATATGCTGTGCTCCGCCCTGAGTCCCCTTCAGGGTGAGAAGGGCGGAATATAAATGTTTAAATAAATAAATAAATAAATAAATAAATAATCAAGGTGTTTAATTGCAACAGTCACACTTGCTTCCAACAGACAAGAGTTCTTTCTCCCACCCTGGACAATCAACACATATAAAAATTTCCCTTGCTTAGTTTCCAATTTACCTCACAACCTTTGAGGATGCCTGCCACAGATGTGGGCAAAACATCTGGAGAGAATGCTTCTGGAACATGGGCATATAGCCCGGAAAACTCATAGTAACCTAATGTTAATTTTTATTTTGACCCAGGGAGGAGACAGAGAAGCTCCAAACATGGTGGAAATTATGTCTATAGATCAGAAGAGGTGGGGGGAAGAAAGGAGAAAAAAAGAATTGTTTTTATTCCTTAGGGCCCTTGTGTGGCTTACTGGTTAAACTTTGTTCGTCCCTGTCATGTACAGATCTGAATGCTCCTTCTCTGTTTTGTTTTCAAGAAAAAAACTAATCTGCCCTGAGAGAAAAAAAATAAGTAAACAGTAGCTACACCAAGAACTGTTGCAAAGGGTAGGGAGGGCTCATCAGTTCACCAGATATTTTGAACCTTATGATCCTGAAGCTCCATGCAGCATAGTCCACAGGTGAGAGAAACTACAGGGGTTGTATGTAATCTAAACTATGTGGTCAAAAATCACCCATCCCTAATATAAATAAACAACTTCTACTTCTGTTAGCCACACTTTCTTTTTCCTTATCACCAGAGGTTTTGGTAATAAAAAAGCAAACAACTAAATTCAAACACACTCAAAAATACATAATAAAGAAAGCACAGTTCTGCAAAAACAGTCATTAGGAATGCTATGGTTGTGAAATACATTAAAATAAAAAGCTGGAATAAAAGAAGCATCTAAGGGCCCTTCCGCACAGCCATATAACCCAAAATATCAAGGCAGAAAATCCCACAATATCTGCTTTGAACTGGATTATCTGAGTCCACACTGCCATATACTCCGGTTCAAAGGAGATAATGTGAGATTTTATTCAGCTGTGTAGAAAGGGACTCAGTTCACTTGCTCTTCTGGGATTATACTTCTATGTTCTTTGCCCTCTCACCTCTTCATCAGCCCAGCTTCAGTGAGCAGCTGGGCTAAATCTTGACTCACTGCTGCACTAGGAGAGCCCACCATAAAGTCTAAGATGACCTAAGAGGAAGTGTAAAGAAACAGAAAGTTGTATCCAAACTGTAAGGTTTTTGCAGAGAATGGTTCATTGCTAGCTACACTGTTGCAAAACAGATCCAAAGAATATAATAATAATAATAATAATAATAATAATAATAATAATAATAATACTTGTATTTTGCCCTATCTCCCGGAGGGGACTCTGAGCGGCTTCCAACATAATAACAGGCAAACATTAATAGAATCATAGAATCAAAGAGTTGGAAGAGACCTCATGGGCCATCCAGTCCAACCCCCTGCCAAGAACTAGGAATATTGCATTCAAAGCACACCCCTGACAGATGGCCATCCAGCCTCTGCTTAAAATCCTCCAAAGAAGGAGCCTCCACCACACTCCGGGACATGTTGGTTTACAACATACTAATGGCCAAAGTTCAATGCTGACATACAGTACAACAAAGAAATCATAATAAATCATAATAACCAATTACTACATTTGACTATGAACTTAAAATCATTAAACCCATTAAACATAAGACATACATAAAATTTAGTAGTCTAGCTGCTGATCTCTGGACCAGTTAAAGCTTCTGAACTATCTTCAAAGAAGCCCCATATTATAACAGCTGAGGTCCCTTGACATGAACTGATATGTCCTATGTAATAGGGATATAGGAGGGAATTATTGGTGATGAGAGAGAACGGTGTGTATGTAATGGTAGGTTTGCTGCCACCACCCCAAAGTACAGTTTGGGGAATTGTCTTGTCGTTGTACTTGAGGTAAAATGTCCCTATACACCGGTTCTTCCTTTTGGCTCCCTTACTTGTGACTGAACTGTGGAGATGTGGACGCTGACTAGATCTAACTCTATATGATAAAACAAGGCTGAGGCAGATTAACGGTAAACTAGAGAACAGGTTTATTGAAATATTTGAAGCAAACAACTCATTACTGAGAAGTACAATGCGTAGTTTGTTTCTGAAGCACAGACTTATCAAGCAAATGGTTTCTTTAGAAGGAGTAACTTTTTCTTAACGTGAGCTACTTTCCTCACACTATCCTATAACATGTAACAGTGTGTTTCTTGGACCAGCCGCCCTTGGCTGCCTTTCTAGAGTATCTAGGTTTTCCCTGGACTACTCTAAACTGTAGGGAAATAAACCCACTTGTATTCTGTCCTAATACAAGTAAACAAGTCTTCACTTTGACTGCCCTAGTCAAACTACACAGAAGCCCTTGCTCTTATTATTCCCTAACAGTCTAATTCCTAGCTCACTCAGAAACTCTCTTCTCCCTGTCTGAAATCCTAATCCTATCTCTACTAGATCAAATCCTCCTCTCTCAGATCAAATCCTTCTCTCTCTCCTGTCAGAAATGACAGCCTCTTTTTCCCTCTCCTTCAACTCCTCCCCTTGGGGTCTGAACCAATCAGGAGTTAGCTGACTCCTCCCCTTGCCTCTCTGCCTACATCAACATGTCAGCCATCCTGAGCTGCTTTCCCAACATGGAGGCCAGCTCACTGACTTCCAGGCTGCGGCCTACTAAGCAAAGGTATGAGTTCATTACATCCTACACCAAGTACTAGATAGACAGATGAAGAAACATGTTGAATTTATGTTTCAAATGTTGTTAGAAATCAACATAGTGATACACAGCCTTAATTGCCAGAAAACTAAGACAAACACACACAAAGCTTACCTCCCACCTTTCTTCAGCATATTTGTCTAGAGATGGAACATCCCGGGCATGCTTGTCTGGTCCTAATTGGCTAGTGTCATCAGACCACGGCTTACCACTGGAGAAAGAGGACAAGAAACAGAAAACACAGGATAGCTGCAACCACATTTGAGCCAATGTCAACCTTAGTTACCCAACCATCTAAAAATCTCAAGACAGCATACAATAAAATCTACTTAATGCACTGAAATAATGAAAATGATTTTAAAAGGCTACCACACCATTTTATAACTTTAAAAAGACAGATCAAAACTGGTGAAAACTTTGCACTTGTGTGAACTTGGATAAAACCAATTAGACTCCAAAAGCTGAAATAAACAACCATGTTTTGACAGCAATGTTACAATATTACGGCTAAGCTAGAGTTAAAGCAAACTCTTTTTTGAGCCTCTGCCTTGATTCCTCAGACCAAAATTGTCCTTTTTGCTCTCACTTACCCTCCCATCAGGGCAATGCGCAAGTTTTCCTTGAATATAGGGTTCAAGACGATTCCTTGGAGACCCCCTGGAAGCAACTGCTTGTGCCACAGCCGCAGACCCAGCAAGATATCTGAGCTCTCTTCCTGTTCCCTGGGACAAAAGAACAAGTGACAAACTAAGTAATCACAGTCAGAAGGAAGAAGTGGCTCACAAGACAAATACCTGGAACGGATCAGGATACTAGAGATAATAAATGTATGTGCATCTTGTCTGGACTACCAAAAATTGATGTTGTTGTGTTGACCTNAGATGCGTTGTATATTTTGGAGGCTTACAAGTCAAGAGATACCATCTAAATATTAGGAAAAGCATCTTTAGTGTAAGACTGGTTCAACAAAGAGACACATCCCCAGTAATGTCTCCACAAATTTGGAACACTTTCCCCTTACAGATGTGTCAATGTTTCGAATTTAAAACTTCCAGAATTCCTATTATATACATAATTATACCTTAGTTAGACTAGTTTTCAACAACCATCACTACCAGGCTTGTTGAACTGCTTGCATAAGTCCCATAAATCCAATGGGTTTACTTTAGTTGAAAGCAGATCCAGGTCTTAACAATAACTGGTATTGACTGTAGTTTTAATATTTTGTCACGCACAGTGAGCCTTTGGATGGAAAAAGATTAGAAACCAGAATAACTTACTTAGTGTATTCCTTCTTTACCCATGATGCCACAGCGGCCTGAGGAAGAGGCTGTTCTAAAAGCAGCATCCGCATAACATAGTTCTTGGCCAAACCTGGCAGCTCTCTGAAAACAAAGACTTTCCTATTAGTTTATACTCAGACCTTTTCTACATTGTCATATAATCCACATTATCAAATCAGATAATCTACATTATCTGCTTTGAACTGGATTATCTGAGTCTACACGGCCATATAATTCAGTTTAGAGCAGATAAGATGGATTTTATATGGCAGTATAGATCCAGCCTCAGTTCTCCTACCTTTAAAGTGGGATAGATAAAAGTTATTCCTGTAGTTTTTTACTCCCAGCATGACTGCTGCCAACTAGAGCAGAAAAAACAATATTCAAAACCATGGCCACTTAATTTGAAGATATGCAATTTCCCATTTCCGTTAACAATTCCGAGTCAATGGAAAGAACTTAGAGCTATAGTGGGAAATTAATGTGCAAATAGTAATTTCCAAACTCTAGTCTTCCAAGAGCTTTTGACCTCAATTGCCAGCTTCAATAGTTTTTAACTGGGAATTGTTATATTTAATCCTGTTTTAATTGTTATATTTAATCCTGTTTTAATGTTTGCATATTTTACATTGTATTCTGATGCTTTTATAAGCCACTTTGAGTATAAATAAATATAATAATAATAATTGGGCAATGATCAGGGATTCTGGGAGCTGAGGTCCAAAACACCTAGGGTCTTTCCATGCAGCCATATATTCCAGTTCAAAGGAGATAATGCAGGATTTTATTCAGCTGTGTGGATGGGGCCCTGGAAGACCAGAGTTTGGAAAACACTGATACACTGTACCATTAATGTAGTTTGAATTCCCTTTAACTACCATGGCTCAATGCTATGGAATCTTGGGAGTTGTAGTTCAATGAGACATCAGCACGCTTTGGAAGAGGAGGTTAAATTCTTTGCAAAACTATAATGCGCAGAGTAGATGCATGCTAAAGGCCTCATCACACTAGAGAAAATAATAATAATAATAATAATAATAATAATAATAATAATAAACACGTCAAACTCCTCTGGGACTTCTGAATTCAGACTGACAGAGTTCTGGAGCACAATACTCCTGACCTCACAATTGCGTTAAAAAAACAAAGTATGGATTGTCGATGTCGCAATCCCAGGTGACAGCAGGATTGAAGAGAAACAACTGGAAAAGCTGACACGATATGAGGATTTAAAGATTGAATTGCAAAGACTCTGGCACAAACCAGTCAAGGTGGTCCCAGTGGTGATCGGCACACTGGGTACAGTGCCTAAAGTGGTTAGATGAGTTTGCTACACTGTATGTATTGAGTTCATTCAACACACTCTTTAAAGTGCATTGCATTTACAGTTTATGCAGCTTTAGTGCTACAAAAATCTGTGAATCAGAAGGGCTATATTTTTTTTTAATGAAGCATAGCGGAGTTTTTGTGATTCCACCCAGAGGAAAAGTGTTCCTGCCATACATCAAGGGAACCACTGACCGCATAGGGAAGCTGATGAGGAAACACAACATACAAACTATCTACAGACCCACCAAGAAAATCCAACAAATGCTACATTCAGCAAAGGACAAGAGGGATCCTCTCGCTTCTGCAGGAGTCTACCGTATACCATGCAGCTGTGGACAAGTCTACATAGGGACCACCAAACGCAGCATTGCCCAAACACGAATCAAGGAACATGAAAGGCACTGCAGACTACTTCAACCAGAGAAGTCAACCATAGCAGAGCACCTGATGAACCAACCTGGACACAGCATATTATTTGAGAACACAGAAATGCTGGACCACTCTTACAACCACCATGTCAGACTACACAGAGAAGCCATTGAAATCCACAAGCATGTGGACAATTTCAACAGAAAGGAGGAAACCATGAAAATGAACAAAATCTGGCTACCAGTAAAAAACTCTAAAATTCAACAGCACAACAACAGAGAGGAAACAAACAAGGACATCTAATCACCTCTCAACAAAAGATTGCTCCAGGCACTGCCAGGCCATCAAATGCTAATCAAGGTGGTCAGTTGAAACATTCACACCTAGCTCCAGCAGACAAGAGTTCTTTGTCCCACCCTGGTCATTCCACAGATATATAAACCCTTTCCTAGTTCCAACAGACCTCACTACCTCTGAGGATGCTTGCCATAGATGCAGGCGAAACGTCAGGAGAAATGCCTCTAGAACATGGCTCTATAGCCCGAAAAAACCCACAAGAACCTATTCACACCTAGCTCCAGAAGACAAGAGTCCTTTGTCCCACCCTGGTCATTCCACAGATGTATAACCCATTTCCCTAGTTCCAACAGACTTCACTACCTCTGAGGATGCTTGCCATAGATGCAGGCAAAACATCAGGAGAAAATGCCTTTAGAACATGGCCATATAGCCTGAAAAAACTCACAACAACCCGGAGTTTTTATGTCTTTTCCAATCTCAGACCAGTGAAAGAGCATCACTCAGATAAGAGGAAGCATGGGGGCTTCACACTCACCGGAAGACAGCCAGGCAAGTAGCGGGGTGATTGTAGAGACGATCCAAGACCCCAGGACTGAGGCCTCGCAGGAATTCGTGCAGGTTCTTGCATTTCAAGTGCACCTTCTGGAGCTTCATCACCGACTCCATGCTAAAAAGTCCAGTTTGTGGCTAGGACATCTCTGGTGTGGCAACAAAAGGTGAATGGTAGTTAGATGCATTTGAAGCAGGCCTGGGCCAATTGGGCCCTCCAGGTGTTTTGGACTTCACTCCCACAATTCCTAACAGCCAGCCTGTTAGGAAGCTGTTAGGTTTGGTGGGAGTTGAAGTCCAAAACACCTGGAGGGAGGGCCCAAGTTGGCCCAGGCCTGCTTTAGTGCCTCTTTGAGTCTCCCTTTCCCCATCCTTGGCCTTCAGCCTCACCCTCAGGAAGGATGCTCCAGGCGAGGCTCTACCCCTCTGCTCCTCTTCCTCTCTGCCTGGCTCTTCCGGTCCAGCCCGCCTCATTTCCCATCATGCACCTCACCCGGAAGCGACCACAGAGAAGCCGCACAAGCCTCTCCTTCCCTGGGGTCTGACACAAGAGAATGAATGGAATTTGGCGCCACTTGGACCAGCTATAGAAACCCAGGAGCTGTAGGTTGGCCAGGCACCGGCTCTCTTGGGCAGAGAAAGCCTTGTAAAGCTACAACACCCTAGCTTTCCATAGCCTCCATCCCTGACAGTACAAAGGGGTGCCAAACTGGGTTAATTTTACAGTGTAGACGCTCCCTTTGGCCGCCCGCCTGCTTTCTCCTGCTTGCAGTCAGTGTGTGTGGTTTAATTCTCTTTGTAAAGACTTTTCTTAAAACTTGCATAACGTTTTATGGTTTTGTATTGTTTTTAGCATCTTATTGGCTGCCTTGAGACTCATTGGGAGGAAGGCAAGGTGTAAATGAATAATAGTAATAGTGAGCAGGCCTGTAGCGAGGGGGGGGGGGGGTTAGGGGTTCAACCCCCCCCCCCCCGAAATGTTTCAGATTTTTTTAAAAAACCCAGTTTACTCATGAATTTTAACTGGTTAACCAAATCCCCATGCTAAGTCTATGAGATGCACAAAATTAAGAGTCCCTCCAGAACTGCAAACACTATCTCAAGCAAATATTTATTTATTTATTTATTTATTATTAACTTATATGCTGCCACTCCCCTGGGGCTCGGAGCGGCTTACAAGAACAGGGTAAAATCAAACACAATTTAAAAACAGCAATATCAGAGATCAAAGTCCTGTCTAAACAGGTATGTCTTACATGCCCTGCGGAAAGCTGATAAGTCCCGCAAGGCACGGACTTCAGGTGGCAGAGTATTGCAGAGTGATGGTGCCACTGCTGTAAAGGCTCTGCGTCTGGTTGCTGTTAGACGCAAGGTCTTGACACTGGGAATTTCCAATAGATCTTGGTCCTCAGAACGGAGGATCTCTGGGGTTGGTAGGGGGTGAGGCGGTCCCTCAGGTACATCGGCCCCAGACCATGCAAGGCCTTAAAGGTTATTGATAATTTATTCACACTGTCATTACTTGCAGCAATAGCCGATGTAGTGAAGCAACCAAGTTGGGTTTGTGTGTGTTGAATGCTCTCATTAAGGAGGCCAGACTTGGTGGAGGTGGTTGACAGGGGCGGAGCTGCAGGCTATTGAAGGCTGCTCTGCCCCCTGCTGTGCTCTTTGCTTCAGCGTGAGCTAGGAGGCAGGTTTCAACCCCCCCCCCGCGAAATTTTCAACCCCCCCCCCCCGAAAATTTCAACCCCTCCCGAAATTTTTTTCTGGCTACGGCCCTGATAGTGAGAATGTATTGTCGAAGGCTTTCATGGCCGGAATCACTGTTTTGTAGGTTTTTTCGGGCTATATGGCCATGGTCTAGAGGCATTCTCTCCTGACGTTTCGCCTGCATCTATGGCAAGCATCCTCAGAGGTAGTGAGGTCTGTTGGAACTAGGAAAAGGGGTTTATATATCTGTGGAATGACCAGGGTGAGACAAAGGACTCTTGTCTGCTGGAGCTAGGTGTGAATGTTTCAACTGACCACCTTGATTAGAAGGTGGACTTCCAGAAACTTTCAAAGTACGCATCGCACCATTAAACAGAAAATAACACTTTCAAATCAGGAACAGGTTCATGAGGTCACAAAGAGTCGGAAGCAACTGAACAAATAAACAACAAAAACAAACCAACAAGATAGTGTTAATAATAGTATTATTAATGATAATAGTATTAATATTAATTATTTTTTTTAGTTAAAGTGTTGTCAGACTACATTATTTCTGCAATGTTCATGCACCTTTATTAACTGCAATACCAAAGTTTGAATCCCTGTTCAGCCATAGAAAAGCACTGGGGGTCCTTGAGCAACTCACACAATCTCAGCATCTGAACAGAGGCTCAGGTGCCTTTAATACAAAATCCATCCATAGCTGGTGAGTTTGACCTGTTGGATTTCCCCTACTCAAATATGTAATTTCTGGTTTGTTTTATTAGCGAAGAAAAGATTTTGCGACAATTGAAAGCTTCCACTTCCAAGCATGCCATCACCATCACTTAATCCTGGCCGAAATATGTGTTCTGTCTGCCGTCTGCTTCTTCGGCTTCACAAGAGGCATTGGGATGCTCTTGCTAACTGGAGGAATTACTCCCAAGCCAACAAGCACGAGCCTCATGGACAAGTGGGGAAAACAACCCATTTGAAAAATAGGGCCGAGAAACAGAAGCGGCAGCGGGAGAGGCTGGCATCCATTGAAGCTGGACTGACTGCTGGGATGAAGGTGAGTGAAGCAGGTTGCGATGCCCAACTATCATTGTGGACAAATCTGATTAAGTTTAGAGTTAACAGAAATGAATATGTATTTAAGCATCTGATTCCTATCCTGCCCATTTCTCGGGTGCATCTACACTGTAAAATTAATGCATTTTGACACCACTTGAACTGCCATGACTTATGCTGTGGAATCATTGGAGTTGTTGTTTGGTAAGGCAACATCACCTTTAGAGAAGGCTACGGACTTTGTGACTCTTTTTTTTGTGTGTGTGTCAGTAGCGACTTGAGAAACTGCAAGTTGCTTCTGGTGTGAGAGAATTGGCCATCAGCAAGGACATTGCCCAGGGAATGCCCGGATGTTTGATGTTTTACCATCCTTGTGGAAGGCTGGAGCTGAAAGAGGGAGCTCAACCCACTCTCCCCAGATTCAAACTGTTGACCTGTCCATCATCAATCCTGCCAGCCAAAGGTTTAACCCATTGCGCCAACTGGGGCTTCTGAGACTCTATAACCCCTTCATACTCCTTTAACTGCCAGGGCTCAATCCTAAGGAATCATTGGTGTTATCGTTTGTCTCTATAACTCCCATGATTCCTTAGCATTGAGCCCTGGCAGTTAAAGGAGTATGAAACTGCATTAATTCTGCAGTGCAGATATACCCTCAGAGCTGTGATGTACAGTGGCTTATCAACATGATTTTTATAGTTACTTGAAAGAAGAACCAGGAAAATAAGATTCTGACTGTAAATAGAAGGTCAGCTGCTGTCCTCTCCTTTTTGCCTTGTATTTTATTCGTGTTGTATTTTGAAATGGTCATATGACTAGTCAAATAAATAAATTATTATTACAGTTATTTGTCATGAGATCAGCTTTGAACAATGCACAGGTCTCTCAAACACAGGGCAGGAGTTTTCTTTCATGTCTGTTTTTATTCTTCACAGGTTGAGTGTCCAAGCCAAGGCAAAGGCAGAGGTGCGAGAGACATGGCTCTGTATGACATCCCAACTGTACCTGGTGAAAAGAAAGGTAAGTAGAGGTTTGACTTAGGGTCACTATATGTCGAGAAGTTCTTGAAGATATACAATAACAAACCCAGATATGTATAAGTTTGTGTGGAATGCACAAATGTTTGTTGTAATGAGGGAGTCTTTGTATTGCTTTTCCCTCCACAGACACTTCGGGGGCTCTGCCCATCTCCTATAGCCCACGCTATGTTGAAGCTGCTTGGTATGATTGGTGGGTGAAAGAAGGATTTTTCAAACCAGAATACCAGGTAGAATTTTGTTCCTATGATCTAACTGCATTAGAAAAGCATCCTTATGAATAAATGATTCCTTAGCATTGAACCAACTGAAGGATGAATGCTGGAGGAAATGAAGCATGAGTTGGAAAAAAAGAATCAGGGCAATATTTCGCCCCTTCACTATAGGTTTTGGAATAGGCGACACTCTTACCATTGACTATGATGGCAAGAATTGATGGGAATTAAAGTCCAACAAGAGATGATTACATATCCATCTTTACTGTAATGCTTAAGTTTTGTAGGACAGTGGAAAGAAGGGCTCGGGAGTTGGCAGGCTTTCATTTGCTGGAGGTATTTAAACAGAGGATGGACGAAGTTGTGGTAGTTCAGGCATGAGCAAACTTCAGCCCTCCAGGTGTTTTGAACTTCAACTCCCACAATTCCTAGCAGCTGCCTGCTGTAGTTACTAAATTCTTGTATTAAGTAGTGTGTGTGCGACACAACAGTTTGACATTTGATGGAGGAAAGAGAAGGGTGAGGGCTCTGGATTCCACTGCTGGACTTAAAGAAATCCCTGTAAAAAGCAGATGTCAGGGGAGGGATACCTCCAAATGCATCCAGCTGCTGCAGCTCAGGAAATGTTGCAAAGCTCCATCTGTCTGGGAACTGATGCCATGTTTCCTTCTACCTGGCTAACTGTGGGATGGGTGCCCTGGAAATGGGGCAAGAGTGGACTGGATTGCCTGGCCATCTGGGGCTTTGCAACATCCCCTGAATCTGTAGGAGCCAGATTGATTTAGACTTTGCCTTCCATGTTGTCTGCTTCTTACAAGGACTTTGTGTAAGTGTAGTAGCAGAATCCAGAGTCATCTCGACTTCCTTTTATCTGTCAAGGTTCTGACTGTGGTGAAGCAATAGCTTCTTGATAAAAGCTCAGTGAGGGCTGGATGTGTAACTAGCCCCCTTCCCCCACCCATCATTCACTATGCATATACAAGTACAGTTTTTTTGAAAGAAAAAAAACCAAAATAATTTTAAAAGTCTCTGGTCCAAAGCATTTTAGATAAGAGAGACTAAATCTGTAATTTGGAACAAACAGCAGAAGGATGCTATTGGCTTTATGCTCTGCTTCTTGAGTTCCCACAAAACATCTGGTTGGTTTTTTATATTCTCATGACAAATAGGCACCTTCTAAACTGCCATATAATCCAGATTATCAAATTAGTTAATCCTCATTATCTGCTTTCAACTGGAGTATATGAGTCTACACTGCCATGTAATCCAGTTCAAAGCAGATAATCTGAATTTTATATGGGAGTATAGAAGGGGCTTTAATAATCCCATCCCTGGGGCCCTGAAAGTTCATTGTCTAGTGAGGGTTGTTCTGACTTCAGCCAATGCTAATCTCATTCTCTTTCTTTTGGCAGCATCATTTGCTGAATCAGAAGCCAGAAACATTTTCTCTCTCTATTCCTCCACCTAACGTCACAGGGTCTCTGCACCTGGGTCATGCTTTGACTGTGGCTATTGAAGATGCTTTGGTACGGTGGTAAGTCAAGTTCTAGAGAGCTTGGGAAATGGTTATGGGCTCTTTGCCTTCTAAGAATGATGGGTGTCACATAGTTTCATTTTTGTCACTGGTGTATTTTTGCTTAGATTAACAGCCGTCAAGCCCTCACAGTGGAGAGATTACAGCACACATATCCTGTTGGTAGAATTTGAAGAGTCTGCATATTTTTCACTTCAGTTTTTCTCATTCTTTACCACTGGCTAATCTATCTAGGGCTGATGGAAATGGCTTTCCAGCAACATCTAGAGGGCAACACATTCCGTGTCTGAGTTACAAAGTGTGTGGGATCTTTAGCCTTGAAGATCTCACAACCCAGTTCATAAAGCAGAGGAGAAAGTATTGAAATCTTAATGTAAAAAATGAATCTGAAGCTCAAATTCTTTCTGTGTGTTTTGAATAAAAGAATACATTTCCATGTCTCTGCTAATGAGTTCTGTTTTGTGTGTGTATGCATTTGGTTATTGATGTCTTCTAGGAAAAGGATGCAAGGCTATAAAGTTCTGTGGGTTCCAGGTTCAGATCACGCTGGAATTGCCACTCAGGTGAGAACAAGTAATCATACCTGGTTGTTCAGGTCTGATAAGTGGTAGAGACAATAGGGACGACAAGGAATACAAAAGTAAGAGAAATAAGGAGGAAAATATTGCATAAGTGGTATCGTACCCCCTGTCACTTAGCGTACTATTATAAAAAGAAAGCAGTCAGTGCTGGCAAGGACGGACGGTTTATGCACATGATGTGGAAATTAATAATAATAACTGTATTGTCGAAGGCTTTCATGGCCGGAATCACTGGGTTGTTGTAGGTTTTTTCGGGCTATAGGGCCATGTTCTAGAGGCATTCTCTCCTGACGTTTCGCCTGCATCTATGGCAAGCATCCTCAGGCACAATACTTCTGGCAGACTATACAAAATGTGTCCAACCAAATATTAGGAATCGATTGGGTGATAACAAAAGAAATGGCGGTCTTAGTCCAAAGAGAGGGAATGGAAATTACAGGGAAATAAAGGAAGCAATAATTGAGTGCACACAAGCAGTGATAGTATTGGGATGGAAAGACAAATCAAAGTGGACAGTAAATAAATGGTATCAGTACATGGCGGATCAAATGTAATTTGAAATTATGAATGTAAAATTAAATGATTCAAAAGGCAATGAAAATAGAATGTGAGAAGTTGAAGAAAGATGGAACTGGGTCATGAATTGTATTTTGAATAAGTCTCAAGATCAGGCGATACTGATCTTCAACTTCCTCAAACTTTTTAAACAGAGGGCCAGGTCACAGTTCCTCTAACTGTTGGAGGGCCAGATTATAATTTGAAAAAAAAAGAAGCACATATCTTATTTGTAGTGCAAAAACACTTTAAAACAATACAATAATTAAAATGAAGGACAATTTTAACAAATATAAACTTATTAGTATTTCAATGGGAAGTGTGGGCCTGCTTTTGGCTGATGAGATAGGATTGTTGTTGTTGTGTGCTTTCAAGTCATTTCAGACTTAGGTTGCCTGAGGGAGGGCTGGGTAAATGACCTTGGAGGGCCATATCCAGCCCTCGCGCCTTGGTTTGAGGGCCCCTGCCATAAGAAATAGGATACAAATGTTATACAGTATGTTAATCTAAAAGGATTGTCTCAAAATGGATTAATATGTAAAAGAAAATAATCCTCGTGGTGGTGGGAATGGTAAATGTTGTGTATGTGTATGTCCTTAAATTTAAAAGGCAAAGAGAGAGAGAGAGAGAAGGGTTCTACTCCCTTTTCCTTCAAGTGGGATCTGCTTTTCACATCCTCTTATGTTCTTTTTTCAGGTTGTGGTAGAAAAAAAGATCTGGAAGGAGCAGGGAGTCCGGAGAAAAGACCTCACGCGAGAGGCATTCCTCCAAGAAGTTTGGAACTGGAAAGAAGAGTGAGTATAAGGTGGAGGCAGTGGCCATAATAGCTGTCATGATGTTGTCTATGGATATATAAAGGACTGTATGTCCTAGTGAAATCTAAATAAAATAGTTTTAAAGCTTTTTCTTGAAAGGCCAGGGGGATTTAATACATCCCAGTGAATGAGATATAATGCTTCCAGCTTGATTGTCGTTATATATTTATACGTTGTATGGATTTTGTTTTATTTTTATTTTCCCTTGATATCAGAAAAGGGAATGAAATATTTCAGCAGCTAAAGGTGATGGGAGCATCACTGGATTGGGACCGATTCTGTTTCACCATGGATTCTGTGAGTAATGGATGTTGAAAGATAGGTCTGTTAATGTTTGGTGAATCACCGTTTCTGATTTACTTCAATGAATATGGTCATTCTGCTCTGGAGTTGGGCTGCTTCCTATTTTTATGTTTTGTTTAGCTGTGATACCAAGATGCCAGGAAACCTGCACAACTCAGGCCCCTTCTACACTGCCATATAATTTAGATTACCAAAGCAGATAATCCACATTATTTGCTTTGAACTGAATTATATGAGTCCACAATGCCATATGATCCAATTCAAAGCAGATAATCTGGATTTTATATGGCAGCGTAAAGGGACCTCAGTGACACAACTAAACTTTTTGGCCAACAATTTGCAATATCTTCCCAGTAGACTCAGAAAAAGAGAATTTTGGAAATACGAGGAGTCAAAGCTCAGTTCCTCAATCAGATCTGAAATTCACAAGGTTATTGCGAAGCAAAAAATATTGCTCCAAACTCTTTGAAGGGTAGATACTAATTTCCATTGGTCCCAGGACACACCTTCTAGCATTCTGCTATGAATTTTTGTAATTGCCCAGCAGAGTGTCTTAGCACCCCTCCTATCTAGCAGAGTATACGTAACCACAAGGATTTTGGTGAAAGAGGATTTCATCCTGAATAAATAACAAAAATAGAATTAGACTTCAAAAATTATTTAAATATTTTTCAAAGTAAGGCAGCCCACTCCTTTGTTTTTTTGTGATTAAACTATTTTCTTTTTATATATATTTTTGTTGGCTGTTATTGTTTTATATCACTGTTTCTGTGTATCTTGTGGTTTTACTGCACCTTGGAGTGTCTTGTAAGCCACCCTGAGTCCCTCTGGGATATGGTGGCAGGGTTATAAATAAAGTGTTTCTGTGTATCTTGTGGTTTTGCTGCACCTTGGAGTGTCTTGTAAGCCACCCTGAGTCCCTCTGGGATATGGTGGCAGGGTTATAAATAAAGTGTTATGTAATATTATTATTACTATTATTATTACCTGGGAATTCAATTAGCTGTAAGTTCAATTTGTGGCTTATGCAACAATTACAAAAAAAAAGTACTCCTAGGGACTTAATATGTAATACCCACATATATAGTACATATATAATTAATATATAATTCTCAAACCTGAAAATGTCATGACAAAGTAAAGTTGATCTTTCACATTTTGTGACAGTTAAGGGGAGGGACAGCAGCCCCATGAAACTGGAAAAACCACAAATTTTGTAAGCCCCCACCCCACAGCCATGTTTAGCACATGAAAAATGTACAGAAGGATCCATAGATCCAGTGCACCTTCCTTTGCAGGATAGAAATGGGCAGAGACACTGGGACCATGAGGCAAGACTTATATATTCCTAGTTAAATGGCATAGAGCAGCAGCAAAAATGGCAGCAAATAATCTGAATAATCAAACTCGCAAATGTTTAATCTCTGATTGCGAGGGGTCGACTGTATCTATAGCATGGCTTTTGTTCCTAGAATAGCAGAGTCACTTTAGATCTGTAAAGGCTGTTAAAATTGCATATTTCCCCGTGTTTTCCAAATTGTTTGTTTTAATTCAGGAGAAGAATAGATTTTTTTCATATAATAATAAACTTATTAATAATAATAAACTTTATTTATATCCCACCACCATCTGCCGAAAGGGACTCGGGGTGACTTACAAGGCACTTCAAGTGCAGCATAACAAAAAGGCACATGAGTATAAAACATATGGCATTACAATCCCTGAAACCATTCTATTCTTTTTGGCTGCAGAGATTCTCCCAGGCAGTGACTGAGGCTTTTGTGCGACTGCATGAGCAAGGCCTGGTATATCGGGACAGGCGCCTGGTGAACTGGTCGTGTGCTCTGCGGTCAGCCATCTCTGATATTGAGGTAAACAAAATGACAATAAATGTCAAAGTCAGCACATGGAAATATTACTTTTCTGGTCTATAGGCGTTAGAATCTGCCATAAGCATGGCTACTGGGCTACTCTGGGAATTGTAGTTCAAAGAAACAGTTTTTCCAAGCACGTAGTTGATGGTGGGAGACTTTTCATAGTATGTTTATCTGGCAGGTGGAGAACAGGCAGCTTGAAGGACGGACAGAGCTCTCAGTGCCTGGTGTCCCAGGCAAGGTACCATTTGGGCTCTTGGAGACATTTGCATATAAGGTGGAAGGAGAGGAAGGTGAGTTCACAATGCTGACTGGACTTCTTCAGAACACGCAATAGGAGAGAACAGCCTGCTCTTAAATGCGATGATTGTATATTTCATTTTGCTGAGTGACCAGCTGCTGTATACTTACTTGTTTTATTTGGTGCCTTAATGTACTCCTTTTCTGAAGTTTTTTTTTTCATACCCAAGACACATTCATAAAATCGTTTAATTCCAAGAAACTCAAGGCAGTGAGGCTTTCATGTTTATGCTTGCAATGACCTTGCAAATTAAATAGAGCTGACATACAGTGTGGCAAGTTTGAAAAATTTTCTGGATGAGATTACTTTGTTCTGTGGCTTTCTCCTTCGGCTCTGTTCCAGTTTGGGTGCAAAAGATCTTTATTTGGTACATGATGGAAATAAGTCTTTCTAACGTCCTGCATGCTTTGATGATGTCCTCTAGATTTCTCCTAGAAGCTGTTGGAATAACCAGCAGTCCTATGACAGAAATTCCATAGCCAGATGTTAGTAAGGGAAGAGCATCCTAAATATTGTATTGTTTTTACCTCTCATAACCAGTGGTGCAATTGGTTAAACCCTTGTGCTGGCAGGACTGCTGACCTGAAAGGTCAGTGGTTCGAATCCAGGGAGTGGGATGAGCTCCCGTCTGTCAGCTCCAGCTTCTCGTGCAGGGACATGAGAGAAGCCTCCCACAGGATGGTAAAACATCTCGGTGTCCCCTAAGCAGCATCCTTGCAGACAGCCCAATTCTCTCACATCAGAAGTGACTTGCAGTTTCTCGTCGCTCTTGACACACAAGCCCCCCCCCCCCCCCCCGTGCATTGCTTTGAGTCTCTTTAAGAGAAAAAGCAGTATATAAATAACAACAATATAGGTAATAAAATTGAACTAAAACAGAAAAATATGTTTTTTAGGGAATTCTAATTTTTATAGACAACAATTTCCTCCCACACTAACCCTTCTCATAATATGGTCACTTCTCCATGTGACACCGAGATGCTGGGAAACCTAAGTAAAATTAACATTGTTTTACTGTCCTCAACTTTTCCCACTTGGACTTTGCTTCAGATGAGGTGCTCCCTGTGGCCACAACCCGCCCAGAGACGATGTTAGGAGATGTAGCGGTTGCTGTCCATCCAGATGACCCACGATATACAGTAAGTCTTTTCTGCCCTATTCTTCCTTTTTTGTGGGGATGAGGCTATTGCATATGGCAGGGAGTTGGACTGGATGGCCCTTGTGGACTCTCCCAGCTCTATGGTTCCATGATTCTGTAATCTACAGGTGAAGAAGTTATGAGTTTCAACTGCAGCAACTCAGATTTTAAAAAAGAACATTGGGGTGTAGATACTTTTGGAAGTAACGGATCTGTGTACAGACAGAACAACAGGTTTAAGTGGAAACAGAGCTTGATAATGTTACCTTTTTAGGCTACAATCTTTAATCTCATACTGGTTTGGCCAGTACCACTTCCTGACTGGAGCATTTCGTAAATTGTCATCCAAGAAGTAAGTTATCTATGTTCTGCTTGGAAGCTCAGAATTGTGCTTTATTAGGAATGGTCCAATTTGGCTTGAAACGGCTAGGAATGTGTGACCCTCCAGATGGCATAAATAATAAATAAAACTTTATTTGTACCTCGCCACCATCTCCCCGAAGGGACTTGGGGTGGCTAAGTAAGCACTCAAGGTGCCACACATAAAATAGAACTACATATAATCCAAACAATACATAATTTGACGGAATACAAACAATGGACAACATCAATTGATAAAATTAAAAATAAAATAAAATTCTAACACATCGCCATTCCTGTGTTCTTTAAACACGAACTAAAGTACCAACAATGGCCAACGTCATCCCATAGTACATTACTCCAGTTCAAAAGCCCATGTAAATAGCCATGTTTTTAGGCTCGAATCAAAGGCTTGGAGATTTGGGGTGAATCTAATCTCTCTTGGGAGGGCATTCCAGAGCCAGGGAGCCACCACTGAGAAGGCCCCCTCTCTCGTCCTCACCAACCGCACCTGTGACAGTGGTGGGACCGAAAGAAGGGCCTCTCCAGCAGATTTCAAGACCTACATAGGACCACAACTCCCTGTAGTCCAGGCCAAAATAGTCAATGTTGAGTTATTCGGAGGAGCAGCTTGAAAACCTCTCATTTGAATCTGCTCACCTGCTAAGATTATATGTGGAGATTCCCTGAAGTGTTCCATTTGATGGTCTTCTTTTAAAGTCTGATGCTCTCCCAAATCCTAGTTATCTTAGGAAGAGCAGGATAGACTGCTTCAGAATTTTTTTTTTATAATAGTTTTTATTAAGGTTTTAAAAATAACATCGAAAGAGGGAGAATATTAAAAAAGATGATAGGAAAGTAGGAAAAAAGTAAGAAATACATCCCCCTACCCCCAAGTCCACCAAAAAAATACAAAAATATAAAAGCCACACAAAATAAAGAAAAAAAAAGGAGAAAAAAATATAAATAAAAATTGACTTCCATCTCTCCATCAGGTGTTGTGTCCTCAATGATATTTCCATTATATCCACTTCATAGTGTTCCTCTTATTTATTTATTTCCTTTTCGTAATTTTCATATAGAGTCCAATCTGTCCTCTTTATCGGGTTCCCGGTATTCTTTTTCAAGAAAAAAGTTAATTCGTCCATTTCTCTTATTTCTCTTAATTTCCCTAACCACTCTTCAGTGGTAGGGATATCTTCCTGTTTCCAAAACTTCGCCAATAATATTCTCGCCGCTGTTGTAGCATAGGTAAATAGTCTATCTTCGTTCTCATCTAATTGTAATTCCAAATCTGTAAATCCCAATAGATAATATTCTGGTTTCTTCTTAAAAACTCTCTTCAAAATTTTTTGTAGCTCTTCATGTACTTTCGTCCAATACTTCTCTATTTCTTTACACGTCCACCACATATGATAAAAAGTACCTGTTTGATGGCAACCCTTCCAACATTTATCAGAAGTATTCTTGTTCATTAAAGATAGTTTCTTAGGAGTGGTGTACCATCTGTGGAACATTTTTATCCAGTTTTCTTTTAAATCTGTTGCATATACATATTTCAATTTTTTGTTCCACATCTGCTCCCACTCCCTAAATTGGATAGGTCTTCTTATATTTTCGGCCCATTTTATCATACATGTTTTCACTTGCTCGCACTCCGTTAGCCAGGTTAATAATGTATTATAAATAACTGAAATTACTTTCTTATTCGTCTTTAATATTTTGTCCCAAATTGACTCTTCCCAGGCGAAGCCTATCTTATTGTCTTGCTTGATATATTCTTTCATTTGCAAGTAGTGTAACCACGTCAAGTTACCATTTATTTCTTTCATTTGCTGAAAGGATTTAATTTCCATAGTATTCCTCACTAGTATATCTCTATATGTTGGCCAGACTGCTTCAGAATTAAAAGGGTGTACATATATTAGAATAGTTCTATTAAACCTAGGTTGGACAGAAAACAATCTGACTCAAACCATAGAGGGCAGTATTTAGTCAAATTAATTGGTTACCTTGAATTCTTGCTAATGAAGTTGTTGGAAACTTTTTTTTTTAAAAAAAGAAAACAACAAGGAAATGATCTCCCCTTTCTTAACTTCGGAAAAGATTATCACAACTACCCTGATTACTTTTTTTCTGTTTTGTTTTGCCAGCATTTCCATGGGAAGAGACTCTGCCATCCATTCACTGGGCAGCTCATACCTGTCATTACAGATCCCTTAGTGGAGCAGGAGATGGGTACAGGTAAGAAAAATTTATGTTGCCTGCCTTTTCACAGAAAATGGGAGTTTAGTATGGAGAGCTCTACAGCAGCATCAGGCATGCAGCTCTTATTACTTAATACTGGTAGAGCATAAAATCAATGGGTACATTTATGTAAACTTGACTGGAACAACAGAAGCACTGCAGCAAGGTTCCAGTGACTGTTTCAGTGGCTACTCTGACCATGGGATTGGTAGGCAGAGCTGTGCCCACACATTTACCATCCTTTTAATCTGTATTACTGCACTGCAGGTGGATGGATAATTGATTACACCCGAAGTTATCAAATACTTCCTGACACAAATGTGTCACACATTATGCATTGGCATAATGCTGTGACAGGATTCTGGCTAGAAAAGTCAATTTGCACTACTTCATACTTTTTTACAGGGGCTGTGAAAGTGACACCAGCTCATAGCTATGCTGACTATGAATTAGCTCATCGGCATGGACTGCCTTTGGTTTCAGTGATTGAGGAAGATGGTACAATGACTGCAGAGTGTGGGGAATGGCTGCAGGTAAACAGGTCTTCGATGAGGCATTTAGATGGGTTGGTCTTCTTTTTCTTCCAATATATTGCCTGACATGGTGTGAGAGTTTGAAAACACAGAAATGCTGGACCACTCTCACAACCACCATGTCAGACTACACAGAGAAGCCATTGAAATCCACAAGCATGTGGACAATTTCAACAGAAAGGAGGAAACCATGAAAATGAACAAAATCTGGCTACCAGTATTAAAAAAAACTCTAAAATTACAACAGCACAACAACAGAGAGGAAACAAACAAGGACATCTAATCACCTCTCAACAAAAGTTTGCTCCAGGCACTGTCAGGCCATTATATGCTAATCAAGGTGGTCAGTTGAAACATTCACACCTAGCTCCAGCAGACAAGAGTCCTTTGTCCCACCCTGGTCATTCCACAGATATATAAACCCATTTTCCTAGTTCCAACAGACCTCACTACCTCTGAGGATGCTTGCCATAGATGCAGGCGAAATGTCAGGAGAGAATGCCTCTAGAACATGGCCATATAGCCCGGAAAAAACCTACAACAACCCAGTGATTCCGGCCATGAAAGCCTTCGACAAAATAAATAATTATTAGTTTTTACAGCCTACTTTTTCCACTCAGAGGAGACTTAGAAGTGACGAACCCAAAAAATAATAAAATATGCAGATTAAAACCAAAAGCATATAAATATTAAAAGAGAATTAAATATAAAAAGTAAAAGTAAAAGTTTCCCCTTGATGTTAAGTCTAGCTGTGTCTGACTCTGTGGGGTGGTTCTCATCTCCATTTCTAAACCAAAGAGCCGGCGTTGTCTGTAGATGCCTCCAATGTCATGTGCCAGCATGACTGCATGGAGTGCTGTTACCTTCCCGCAGAAGCGGTACCTATTGATCTAATCACATTTGCATGTTTTCAAACTACTAGGTTAGCAGAAGCTGGGCCAAACAGCGGGAGCTCACCCTGCTCCCTGGATTTGAACTGCCGACCTTGGGTCAGCAAGTTCAGCAGCTCAGAGGTTTAACCCGCTGTGCCACCGGGGGCTCCAGAATTAAATATAGGACTGTTAAAATGTATAGTTGAAACTAATACAACCATTTAAAAACCTTTTAAATTACATAAGACACAAAGTCTTAGGGTCAGCTTGAATCAGAAATGACTTGAAGGCATGTAGGAAGCAAAATGGAGCCCCCGGTGGCGCAGTGGGTTAAAGCACTGAGCTGCTGAGCTTGTTGATCGAAAGGTCGCAGGTTCGATTCCAGGGAGCGGCGTGAGCTTCCGCTGTCAGCCCTAGCTTCTGCCAACCTAGCAGTTCGAAAACATGCAAATGTGAGTAGATCAATAGGTAGCGCTCTGTCGGGAAGGTAACGGCGCTCCATGCAGTCATGCCGGCCACATGACCTTGGAGGTGTCTACTGACAACGCTGACTCTTCGGCTTAGAAATGGAGATGAGCACCACACCCCAGAGTCAGACATGACTGGACTTAATGTCAGGGGACTACCTTTACCTTTACCTTTAGGAAGCAAAATTATAATAATAACGATTCTGGAAAGCACATAGAAACAAAGTGAAATGCAGAAAACTTCCCTTTTGTGCTTTTTTTCATTAGCAGGATCAATCTTTGGGATGCAGTTATGTGAGACAGCATATTTGGAGGCTTCACTGGAAATTGAGAATTAGTCATTACTACAATGATTATCTTTCTAATGTGAGAGGGTCCCATTTGAAATTTCTTGATCTAGACAACAGTATATCCAGATCAGTTATCAGCTAAAAGAGTTAGATATATTTGCAGATCCAGAAAAATGGTTAACTTTTTGAGATGTCTCCAAGACCCTATATGATAAATCAATTGGATGTTCCCTTTTCAGGGCCAGAATAGGTTTGTGGCTCGAGAGAAGGTATTGGCTGCTTTGAAGGAGAAAGGTCTTTACGGAGGTGCAAAAGAACATCCCTTGGTGCTTCCTCTTTGCAGGTAATAGTACAAAAGGTACTTAAAAGTTTACACTGTGTTGTCTTCTGCCTTTCCTCTCTTCCCATTTTGTCTTGGGGCTTGTGTACATTCTGGCAAGCAGTTGTAGTTCTCTAGGTGTTTTAGGATAGCAATACCCACAATCCACCATCATTGGCTGTGATGACTAGAGCTGCTGAGAATCACAGTTTAGCAACATCTGAAGGGTCATAACTGCTAATATTGTTTTCCCCTTTCATATATTCAACAAAACCATTTCAAATCTTAGTAAAATTGTGTTACTAATAATAAACCAGTTAAGAGTTTGAGAGATGCATTTTCATTGTCTACTTGAAAAAGCTCAGAAAGGCCAATTCTGGAATCTTTTTAAGATGCTTGCTATTGTGTCGCTTGCATCCCAGAATTTAGATACAGTGGGCTTTTGGCATCATCTGGGATTTGGTTCCAGGACCCCCTGTGGATACCAAAATCCATGTTTACTATTTTTAAAAAATAAATGTTGAAAAGGAGTCTTTAATTTCACAGCTTTATTCGCAAAGAGGTCTATGTGTGAACGTTGCACCAGAGTCAAATATTGTTTATATACATTTTAACACAATTTTTTCTTTGTCTGATTAAAATTTCTACTGGTGTGAGTAAATGGGAAACTGATACATGTGTAACAAGTTGTCTTTACTGAACAGTGGGAAATGAATTCCTCTCCAAATAGATCAATGCATTTCAGGATATCTTCTTTTGTAGACCATCAACAAACTACATGCTTCTTAGAGGAGGCATCCATTTTTTGTTGGCACTTTATAATGAGTGCAAATGCCACATGTTATAACATGATACAGCAAGTATGGTGAACCTTTTCATCCCAAGAGCCACATCCCATTTTGAAGAAATTCCCAGTTGCCTCGTTCTTGCAATACGCAGCAGCAGGAGAAGAATGACGCCCAAAATCCTTGCATATTTTTAGCTTCAAGTTCTTACTTCCAGTGTTTAATCTTGAGAAGAGACATTGCAATCTTTTCAGAAAGAGGGTACATATTAAATCTGGGAAATACCCAGTGGTTGTGTAGTGGGGAAGAGGATGTGCCCATTGGAAGAACTTCAAGGGACCATACTAAGACCCCAGGAGGGCCAGATTCAACCTTGACTCTCACTCCAGTTTGAGAGGCACATGGCTTTTGCAAACTGGAATGCAGCCTAGGAAATATAGACTGATTTCCTTTGTCTTTTTCTTTCTGTCATCACAGTCGCTCGGGGGATGTGATTGAAATTCTCCTAAAGAACCAGTGGTTTGTCCGATGTGAAGCAATGGCTCAGAAGGCCTTAGAGGTAATTCTCTGAATATTTAATTTGTTCTGTCTTTCTTTGACTGAGCCTCCAGAAGGCATGGTTTTAAAAATGAAGCAAAATTAAAGCATTGGGAGATGCTTGCACATGTTAAGATGGCAGGAGTCTATTGTTTGATTTCATAGAATCGTAGAGTTGGAAGAGACCTCATGGGCCATCCAGTCCAACCCCCTACCAAGAAGCAGGACAATTGCAATGAAAGCACTCCTGACAGATGGCTATCCAGCCTCTGCTTAAAAGCCTCCAAAGAAGGAGCCTTCACGATACTCTGGGACAGAGAGTTCCACTGCTGAACAGCTCTCACCTAATGTTCAAGTGGAATCTCCTTTCTTGTAGTTTGAAGCCATTGTTCCGCGTCCTGGTCTCCAGGGCAGCATAAAAAAAGCTTACTCCCTCCTCCCTATTACTTCCCCTCACATATTTATACATGATAATGATAATGTTTTGTACAATAGCTTTAAGGAGCAAACATGCTAGATGTTGTATTTCTAGGTGGAATGTAAGTATCTGAAAACGTGAAAGGATTTCACTTGTTGTTTTGATTATAGCTACCAGAATCTTCCATCTGATATTTTAGTTTGGGACGCAGGGATTATGGGAACTATACTACAAAATATTATCATTATCATTATGTTTATTAGTGGAGCCCCTGCTGGAGTGGTGCAGTGAGTTAAAACTTTGTGCTGATAGGTCTGCTGACCAAAAGGTCAGCGGTTCAAATCTGGGGAGAGGGGTGCGGTCCCATCTGTCAGCAGGATGGTAAAACATCCAGGCGTCCCCTGGACAATGTCCTTGCAGATGGCCAATTCTTTACACCAGAAGCGACTTGCAGTTATAATATAAATTTATAATATAATATAAATTTACAAGTTATAATAATAATAATAATAATAATAATAATAATAATAGTAATATTTATTTATACCCCACCACCATCTCCCCGATGGGGACTCGGAGGCTTACATGAGGCCAAACCCAAACAACAATTACAATAAAGAAAAACCAAAAACACAAACCGAAAACACGAACAATAACAACAACATCATAATTACATAAAACATGTGAATACATAACAATATAAAATTACAATAAGCACAAACACAATGACAATGGGCGGGCTACATGTAATGATTAAAAGAAGAACTAATTTTGTGTGCTCCTGACACACAAAAAATTATGTTTATTTCAAAAATTCAAATGGATTCATTCCTCCTTCCAAGATTTTGAATAGTCCTGCATTGAGTTAGCCTCTGTTTTATTTGTTTCTTCATTCAGGCTGTGGAATCTGGATGCTTGAAGTTAATGCCTGAATTTCATGAGAAGACCTGGAAGACTTGGCTCTTGAGTACCGGGTAAGAATAAGGTAGTCCCGCCTCTCTCCCCATCTTTTTAATATTTTGATCTGAATGCTTACCCTTTAATGGACCAATCCTGTTGCAAAGGGCTAGTTCAAACAGTTTTTCAGTTTCTCCTCTTTCACTTTTGATCTTGGTTGATTAACATAATATTGTTTATTCCGACTGGTGTGGCTATCTAAACCTGTCCTGGAAAAGAGTTTTTGTGTAGTAGTTGCCAGCATATTGCAGTTGTAATTATTATACAGTTGTGTGTATGTAACATGCACATTTTGTTTCTCCAGGGTCTCAGCCAGAGAAAACACACACTCAATTTTTTTTGAGACAATTACTTGTTAAAATAACTACCAGGGAAATACTGAGAACTGCAATCCAAAAAACTTATAGTCTCTGTCCTTCTTCCCATTACCCATTATTTCACATGAATTGCTTTATATATATTATCTTTACAATAGCTCTTTGAGGTCTTTGGAAAAAGGTGAATAGTGAGTTGTTCAAAGCCATCCAGTATTCAGCATGGCTCAGAAGTGACCTGAGGTCATGTCTCTTTTTTCTGTGTCTTGCACTCCTGTCGACTATACTGTGCTGACAATCAGCCAGAAGCTACCAGTGTTGTTACCTGCTTTGAGTGTACTTGGTAGTTTATTCAGGGAGTTCAAGGTAAGAAACGTGTTTTCTCATCATCACTTGTGAGGTAGGCCAGGGGCTAAGAGATTAAAGTCACCCTGTGAGTTTCATGGTGTTAGTGAGAATTTGAACCTGGATCTCCCAAAATACATGTTTAGTTACTATTTTTATTTTTTATTTATTTACTGTATTTGTGTACCGCCTTTCTCAACCAGTCGGCAACTCAAGGCAGTTTCCAACAAATCAGTACACATAATATCATAATACAGATTAAAACATTAAAACGCCTAAAATGATCAAGGGTCTGGAGAACAAGCCCTATGAGGAGCGGCTTAAGGCGCTGGGCATGTTTAGCCTGAAGAAGAGAAGGCTGAGAGGAGATATGATAGCCATGTATAAATATGTGAGAGGAAGCCACAGGGAGGAGGGAGCAAGCTTGTTTTCCGCTTCCTTGGAGACTAGGACGCAGAACAATGGCTTCAAACTACAAGAGAGGAGATTCCATCTGAACATGAGGAAGAACTTCCTGACTGTGAGAGCCGTTCAGCAGTGGAAATCTCTGCCCCGGAGTGTGGTGGAGGCTCCTTCTTTGGAAGCTTTTAAACAGAGGCTGGATGGCCATCTGTCAGGGGTGCTTTGAATGCAATATTCCTGCTTCTTGGCAAGGGGTTGGACTGGATGGCCCATGAGGTCTCTTCCAACTCTATGATTCTATGATTCTACAATATAAAACACAACAAAAGTAATAAAAAACAATAAAAACAGTTATTGTTTACAGTTATTCAAGGGGAAAGCTCAACACAACAAATAAAACGTGCTTTTCTACCATAGTACCAATACTTCTGCCGGCTTCCTCAGCAGCCTCTCTCAAAGCAGGATCCGGGTGAGCAATTTTTACAAAATCTGCTAGATCTGCGAGTCTACACAAGGCATCGGAGAGCTGATCAAAGATACTATATCACACTGGTTCTCTTTATCGGTTCAATCTACCAGTTGATTTTTATGTTCTTAAATCTTGACAGTTTTACTTGACTTTTTCCTTCACAGCGACTGGTGTATTTCTCGCCAGCTCTGGTGGGGTCATCAGATTCCAGCCTATCGAGTTACTGTTTCTGGGCCACCTGGCATTGAAGAGGTGAGTGTTTGTCTATCAGATTCTGTACCAACTATGTACTACAGCACAACATAGTTACTGGACAGGGATAGTCTCCACCTATTCCAGCCTTGCTCACAATTTCATCTGAACTTAATTTTTATCCTGGATTGTAACAGGAGGAGAGTGATGGATCCTGGGTAGTGGGTAGAACAGAAGCAGAAGCTCGGAGAAAAGCAGCAGGCATGCTGGGAAAATCAGAAAAGGATCTGGTGCTGGTGAGAGGTAAGACAACAGGAGGCAGACAACTTAAACTTTTGGAAGGGAAGGTAACAATATAAAAACAGAGCTTTCTGTCTACAACGCCAAGAATTTCTAAACCAGCACGGTCACTGACAGTACAACAGAGAAATTCGAAGGGTTGAAATAAAAATCCAAGCATTATTTTTTTCTCAAGTTCTGACCATTTTCAGCTATTCTTCTTTTTTGTTCCTCAAGGCTCGTATTTCGAATAATATTTTGCACTTGCTTTTTCATTTTATTAGATGCGGATGTCTTAGATACCTGGTTCTCCTCTGGCCTCTTCCCTTTTGCTGCACTGGGCTGGCCCCATGAGGTGAGTTTACCTCATTTTGGATATTCGTTATGGGAAAACGAGCAGGCCCTGGGTTAATCTTTAGGCTGTTTGTTATAGGCATTGATGGGTATACAAACATATAGGGCTCCCCCTTGTGGAAAAGATGGTTATTTTCTAGGCATATTGATTTTAGATTGTGTTGTCTGCATGGGGTGCCCTTTTACTTTCCCGCCAAGACGGTACCTATTGATCTACTCGCATTGCATGCTTTTGAATTACTTGGTTGGCAGAAGCTGGGCTGACAATTGGGAGCTCACCCCAACTCAGAGCTTCAAACTGCCAACCTTCCAGTCAGCAGATTTTCCGCAGCTAGCGGCTATAAATAAAGTTGTTAATTATTATTATTATTATTAATCTGCTGTGCTGCCGTGGCCCATCAAATAACGAAATAAAGAAAACAAATAACATACAATTCATATCAAAATTTAACGAGAGACAGGGCCTTCTCAGTGGTGGCCCCTCGGCTGTGGAACGCCCTCCCTACAGACATCAGATCGGCCCCCTCTCTATTGGCATTCCGGAAGAGTGTGAAGACCTGGCTTTTCGAACAGGCTTTCAACTAAGCAGTGCAATTGATTGATTATTGGAATGGAATAATGGACAATGAGTTCGGATGCTGATTCTATTGATGAGACATGATGGATTGTTATAGTGCTGTACTGTTGTATTGATATTTTGGTGTTAATTAATTGATACTACTGTTTTAATTGATTAATGATTTTGTATTGTGTTGTTGAAACTGGTTGTTAACCGCTCTGAGTCGCCTGAGGGCTGAGAAGAGCGGTATACAAATGAAGCAAATAAATAAATAAATAAATAAATAAACAGATTAATACATTGCAATGAACATCATTAAAATTTTCCCTAAACCTCAGGCCACTTAGATTCTTCATAAAACAATTGCATTGAGCTCCTATGGTATATGACAAGTTAGATGCTACACATGTATAAGACTTTATTTTTTTATCTCTGCAACTTTCTAACAGGCTTCTCTATAGTTATAATCTTAAACTATGTAAATTATACACTTATCTGTTAAGGAATATGTTCTCTTCTTTCAAAGGACTATGCACCTCTAAACAGGCAACCAAGGGGTTAATATTCTTGGGCATAGCTATATCCAGTAGCATCATTTACAGTCTGAATGGGAAATGTAACTATTTAGCATAGCTCAGTTGTTTCTTTCATCAGAAAATGTTTCAAAACAGATACAAAGAGAGGTGTTAGAGGAAAGATTATAGATGTTATGGTCATGTAGCAATATTTGGGATGTCCTTATCTTCCTTACAGACAGAAGACCTCAAGCAATTTTATCCCAATAGCCTCTTGGAAACTGGAAGTGACCTTCTGTTCTTCTGGGTGGCCCGGATGGTTATGCTAGGAAAACAACTAACAGGAGAGCTACCCTTTTCTCAGGTATGGCCTGGATGCCAGAAATCCTAAGGGCATAGTAGGGAGATTCCATTGAAGCCAAGTTAGCCAAAATTATTACCTTGCTTATTTTTTTTATTATGTTATCTTGGATTGGAGCCAGGATAGTTATTGGTCTGTATACTGCTCTATGACTCTGGAGGCAAAGGTTTGAATTCTCACTCAACAATGGAAATGTGACAAGGGAGTCACATTTTATCAGTCTTAGGCAAAGTAGAGGCAAATCCCTTCTGAACAAATGTTTGTTTATTTATTTACGGTATTTCTNGTGGGTGTGCAGGTGATTCCCTGATTGACTTAATGTCTCATTCCGAAGAAGGCAACAGTGCCAGGCACAGAACACAAAAGGTGATCATGCCACAGAGCCAGAGGGCCGGGTATCCACTCAAAAGGCTCATTTATTCACCTTTGCTTAGCCTTTGCATCTGTGGGAATCCTAGACCTCTGGACACACCTGGCCAGGTAAAGAGTGCAAAACAGCCCAACTGATAAAGGGATTGTCTATCTGTCACTCTCACACAAGAGGGATTCCATGTCTAGGCTGGGAGATCGCTAGAGGGAGGTTTACTGAGGGTAGAGGACTCTCCGTTCCCAGGGTTGGATGTACATAGAAGGGAAGGGGACCAGGGGCCTTCACCATACATTTGAGACACTAGGAATACAGCACACCCCAAAATATAATTCAATAAATTTGTGAAAGGTTTGGGGTTCCCTTGCCAGGTATCTCCTGAGGCTTTCGGGGGCTTCCAAATGGTGGAACTCTGTGCCCTGGGTCTCTCCCCGCATCCCCTTCCTCGCCTCCTGAGCACTCAGAGCCTGGCCAGGCCACGAGAGAAGGTCTCCTGGAAAGGGAGAGGCCTCTTCTCATCCAGAGGAAATCCCAGTCCTGGCCACGGAGTCTCTGGGTTTGGCATTCACTGAGATTTCACACTAACAACTATTGATATTCTGCATTTTGTAGCTGAAGGCTTTCATGGCCGGAATCTCTGTGTTGCTGTGAGTCTTCCGGGCTGCGTGGCCATGTTCCAGAAGCATTCCCGCCCACACCTCTCTATGGCAGGCATCCTCGGAGGGGTGAGGCCTGTGGGAAAGCAGGCAAATGGGGTTAATATAACTGTGGGAAGCCAGGCAGGAAGCAGCCAGGCTTTGGACCTGCAAGGCCATTCAATGGTAACGAAGGTGGTCAATGGAAACAGAGAAGAGTTCTTCTTTCTTCCTCCTGACGGCGAGCGCATCTTGTAGCCCCGCCTTTACATTAGTGTGAACTGCAGCAGGGAGTTCCGCAGTTCCTGGGCCAAGCTTTGAGGCCAGCAGATGGAATGCGCCCCAGCTGCTAGCTCCAAGACCAGGAATGCCTGCAACTCCAGGTAACTTCCCCTCTCCTTTGACTTTGTATCTTTCCCTAATAAAGTGCTTGAAACCTGAAACTTTCCGATGTAATTGATTTCTTCAATTGATCCATGGCAGTTTGACAATTTGGAGTCCAAATTACCTGGTTCGGGTTCTTCTTTTTGGTAAGATCCGAAAGAGGGGCCGCCAAATTACTAAAAGATGGGATAAATTTGCGATAGTATCCAGCCAATCCAAGGAATGCCCTAACCTGTTTTTTCGTTTTGGGCACTGGCCACTGGTGAATAACTGCCACTTTAGTAGGGTCAGGTCGAATATGACCTCCTCCCACTAAATGTCCTAAATACTTAGTAACATTGTATCCTATCTTACACTTAGAAGCCTTAATAGTTAACCCTGCTTCTCTCAACCTGCTTAACACCAGATCCAAATGTTCAAGGTGAGCTTCCCAGGAATCGCTGAAAATCCCTATATCATCGATATAGGCCACGCAAAAAGACCCCAGCCCACTTAAAACACTGTCTACTAATCTCTGAAATGTGGCTGGGCTATTTTTTAGCCCAAAAGGGAGGACAGAAAATTCAAATAACCGACTTTGGGTTCGGAAGGCGGTTTTGTGTCGATCCTGTGGTGCCATGGGCACTTGCCAGAATCCTTTAGTCAGATCTATACTACTAATAAAGTTGGCCTTCCCCATCCTTTCTAGCAGATCGTCTAAACGTGGCATAGGGTAAGTATCTGTCTGGGTTACTTTATTTAACCGCCTATAATCCACGCAAAATCTAATTGTCTTGTCTGGCTTCTGTACCAACACTATGGGTGAAGCCCAAGAGCTAACTGATGGAACAATAATACCTAGGTCCAACATTTCTTTAATCTCCTTTTCAATACACTCATTAATTCTCCCCGTGACCCTGTAGGGTGGAGATACTATGGGAGTTGCATCACCGGTGTTTATTTGATGCTGGACTCCCTGGACCTTTCCTGGCAAATCTGAAAATATGTCTTTATATTTACTCAAAACTTTCACAACCTCTCTTCTCTGTGGTTGGGACAATTCTATGTTCATTTCTACCCGATCCAAATTTTTGTACTGTTCACGATCACCCTCCCAAAAAGAAAAGGGACCGGATTCTTCCTCCGAAACAACAAAACATACATTAGCAGACCTTTCAACATAAGGCTTTAACATGTTTATATGGACTCTTCTTTCTACATTGGAATGTTCATCATAAATATCATAGTTTATTTGGTTGTGTTTTCTGATGATCTTCCAGGGTCCCGACCAATCCAATTGAAGTTTGTTGGTTTTGTTGGGAGATAAAAATAAAACTTCATCTCCGATGTTGAAGATCTTTGGTTTAGCAGTAGAATCATAATAGTCTTTTTGTCTCTGCTGAGCCGCAAGCAAATGTTCTTGTGCAATGTCCCTAGCCAGTTGCATTGTTGATTGAAGATCCTTTAAATACTCCGACACTGGAACTGGATCTGTTGCCGGACTTTCCTCCCAATATTCCTTTATCAGGTCTAATGGACCATGAGCTTTCCTTCCATATAGCAATTCAAATGGACTGTAGCCAGTACTGTCATGAGGGACGGTCCTGTAGGCGAATAACAGTTGTTGCAATTTGACGTCCCAGTCGTATGGCTTCTCTTGACTGTAAGACTTTATCATTTTGACTAAAGTCTTGTTCATATTTTCAACTAGTCCATTTGTCTGTGGATGATAAGCTGTTGAAGTCAGGTGTCTGATACCACATAACTCAAGCAATTTCGACATAAGTCTGGAAGTGAATTGGGTTCCCAAATCTGAAACCAATTCTCTAGGATAACCAGTTCTTCCCCAAATGGATAACAGTGCATTTGCAATCGTTGTTGTCTCGATGTTAGTTAGAGCTACAGCCTCTGGATATCTTGTGGCGTAGTCAATCATGGTTAAAATGTATCGGTAACCACGTCTGCTTGGTTTACAAAGAGGACCCACTATGTCAATGCCCACTCTGTAAAATGGTTCTCCAATTATTGGCATAGGGATCATAGGAGCTTTAATTTTATCCCTTCCAGTACTCAATCTTTGGCAGATGTCACAAGACTGGCAAAACTCTTTGATCTTCTGGAACACGCCAGGCCAATAAAAGTTCTTAGTGATTCTCTTTGTGGTTTTCCTCACACCCAAATGTCCACCTTGAGGGTTTTCGTGTGCCACCCTCATCAGCTGTTCTCTAAAACTTTGAGGCACTACAATTTGACTACTTGTCACTGATTCTTCTGTTGACTCCACATTCCTGGTTTTTCTATATAAAACACCATTCTTTAACACAAACTCGGAGGGCTGTTCTTTTGCCAATATTGTGGGGTTTTGAGCCAAAGCGAATAGAGGTTTAAGAGATTCATCGGCTCCTTGTTCCTGCCGAATTTCTTCAATTCCTCCCGTCTTCTTAACAAGCTCAGCAACCGTAGCGCTGGATTCCGGACTCTCCTCCCCATCCTGTTGTATGGCAAAACACATGGCTTTTTGATCATGGCTTTCGTTGTTATATTCTTCCTCTTCACACGTCATCCTCCAGCTTTCAATCTTCTTAGCCAAATCATTTCCAATTAAACATCTGTATGGTATGTCAGGACTGACTGCAAAATCCCACATACCCTTCCATCCTCCATATTCTATTGGCAAAGTCACTACTGCTGTTGGTATCGCAGGTCCTAAACCTTTTAATCTTATTTCAGAGGTAGGCCGCTGAAATTCCTGAGGTATTATTTCTGGATGCACTATACATACTTCAGAGCCTGTATCTCGAAGTCCTTTCATGTCTTTGTTGTTAATAGAAATGGTTTCTAAGTAATCTTTAGATGGGCTGCCTGACAAGATGAACAAACATTGTTTCTCTTGAGGCTCTGAATCTGAACTCTTCTTTGACACAGTATCTGGTTCTAGCCAGAGTGAACCAGAGGATTCTGGGATCGTTGGTTCCCAAGGCAAAGATGCTTCGATGCTAACAGAAAAAGGGGCCGAGGAAAAGGTTGAACGGCCAAGGCCAGATAGTGATAGTGAAAGGAATGTACTAATTGGCAAGCTGAGGGACGACCAGACACTCTTAATAATAATAACAACAACAACAACAACACTTTATTAGTACCCTGATACCATCTCCCCAAGGGACTCGGTGCGGCTTACATGAGGCCAAGCCCAAACACAACAATGCAGGCAATAATACAACAATACAAGCAATTAAAATAAAACATAAACGATAAACATATAACATTATCAATAAGACAACATACAATTAAAAATTGTGGGAAGGCCAAATGTAAAAATTAAAATTGGAAAAGTGCTGAGGCATGGACGAAAAGGCGATAGTGGCGTTTGTGGAAGACATACGAGCAGACCTAAAAGTATAAAGTGCTTTGGAGGGACAAAGTGCTATGGGATCATTATTCCGGGAAGGCACACTCGCACAACCACATCTTCAAGCTCCTCCTGAAGACCCCAGGGTTGAGGCCTGCCTGATGTCCTTAGGGAGTGAGTTCCAGAGTTGAGGGGCCACTACCGAAAAGGCCCTCTCTCTCATCCCCACCAATCGTGCCTGCGATGCTGGTGGGATCGAGAGCAGGGCCTCTCCAGATGAACGAAGAGATCGTGTGGGTTCGTATACAGAGATGCGGTCACACAGGTAGGCGGGTCCCAAACCGTTCAGGGCTTTGTAGGTAAGAACCTGCACCTTGAATTGGGTCTGGTAGATGAATGGCAGTCAGTGGAGCTCCTTGAACAGGAGGGATGACCTCTCCCTGTAAGGAGCACAAGTTAACAACCTGGCTGCCGCTCATCTAAAATTTCTGGGCCGTTTTCAAGGGCAGCCCCACGTAGAGTGCATTGCAGTAGTCCAGTCTTTGATAGGAGAAGTCAAATCAATCATCATCATACCTGGAAGGGGGCAGAAGACGGTCTGAAAGATTAAGAGAATCAGGGGGTCAGGGAGAGGTTTCCCAAGGGAAAGGGAATGCTTTTGCCATGGCTTTCTGAATAAATATAGGGCCTGTGAGTCTATACTCTTCAGTAAGTCCAACATTTGGTTTTCATGCCTGCTTCATGCTTGCTTGTTCATGCGGGGAATCATGTATAATCTTGCTTTGTATTCATGCACATGCTGAGATTTTTGTAAGCTGGTGTTTGTGATTTCAAGCTACTGCATTTAGATTATTTGATTCAAGTTGGCTCCTGTTTCTTCAAGGGACTTTTGCATTTGCCACCTTTGGAAAAGAAAGACTTTCTTCCTATGGATTTGCTTCTTGGATTTTGGGACTGATTTGTCTCCTAACTTGGATTTGGGTTATTTGCTGATTTTGTGGACATCACCTTTTCTCTATTTGAATGCTTTTTACCTTTTTGACTATTGCTATAT